AGGAGGGCGTTTGGGCAATAACTTGTATAAAGGCTGAGTGATAGGGTATCTTGATCATGTTTTAGAAGTTGCCCAGAATCCCCTGGTCCCAAAGCAAATCCTTCTGAAGGGAATGTCCCTAAAATCAAGGCTGGTGTTGAGATGAGGGGACCAGATTGCCGAAGGGGGCTGGGAAAAGGCAGGGGCGGGCAGCTTGTGACCCCAGCCGCACCCTGCAGGTGGCCTTTAGGCCCTGGGACTGAAAAAAGCCCATCTTTCTTAGAAGCAGGAGAAGCAGGGAGCCCTCCTGCCCAGAGATGGGGCTAACGGAGACCCGGCCCGGGGAGAAGGGCCTGGATGCTGGCGGCGGGGAGCACGCACAGCGCGCCGTGGGAGCCAGACAGCCTGGCTGAACTGCCCTTCGGAGCCTGGGGAACGGGGCTGAGCTGAGTGGGGCCCGCGCCCTGCGCCCCAGGGAGCAGCACCAGCGGGGGGCCTGTGCGGGCGGCCTGCCCCCCCCCCCGCTGCCCACCTGTGCCCGGGGCGCCCCTCCGTCCACCTGGCGCGGGCGGCCTGTGCTCACCGCGGGCCTGGGAGGCCGCCTCTGCGGGGAGCCCCCGTCAGACGTGTCTTGGCCGCCGGGCCCAGGCCCCAGGCAGCTGGCCAGGAAGGGCCGGAAATGCTCCAAATACTCTCCTTCCTGCGCCGGCTGGGGGAGGGAGGCCCCTCGGAGAGGCCATTTTATAGTGATGGCCACGCCGGAGCCTCTGCTCGGGGGATGGGAAATGGAGGGAAGGCCGCCCCAGGAGGGAACCGAGGAGGCGGCCTTGCCCGCGGGTCGCCCGGCCTGCGGGCCTGCCTGCCCCTCCCAGGCAGACCCGAGGACTTCCTTTGCTGGGACGCGAGGCTGTGGCGTTGGCAACAGTGGTGTCTGAACCTGACCTTCAGAACAAGGTTAAAAATAGTGTCGTCCCGGAAAGGCAGCCCTCGGTCTGCGGGTGCCCACGCCGCCGGTCCTCGTACGGGCTCCTACACAGGCAAGTGGCGGCGGTGGCAGGAGGGGAGGCGGCCCTGTGCCTGCGGAGGGTAGCCGGGTGTTTGCCAGCCCGAGACGCGGCTTCCTAGTGGATGCGAGAGGAGGGGCTGTTCCCACCCGTGGAACCGCTCACGATCACACTCCTCCGGCCCCCTGCGCTCATCCTCTCTCCTCCAGCTGCACATGCTGGGGAGGGGGGGGTCCCCTGCCGCTGGCCTCCTCCAGCCTCATCCGGCCAGGTCCCGGTGTTGCTAACTAGTGGTCCTCTCCCCTCAGATAGTTAAAACGAGCCCAGCACTTAGCTTTCATCGCACAGCACGTCACTGTTTGCCCCTCCACTGGGGAGTCAGGCCGGGGTGTCATCGCAAGTAGTGGAGGAGGACAGTGGGGCTCACAGAGGCTGCGGTCAGGTGAGCCCCAGCCCCGCCCTGCTCTGGGAAGCCTCCCAGCAGGGACCTGGGGGAGCGGCCTGGCTTCCTGGTTCTCAGCTACCCGGACCTGACCCGTAAGCCAGAGCTCCCCTCACGAGGTCTGGCTGGTCCTCGCCAGATGTTGGGAGCCGAGAGAGCAGGTGCACGTCAGCAGCTGGCGAGGAGAGGAGGGGCGTCCACAAAGCGCGGTAGCAGGAGGGCTGAAGGAGGGGAGCAGCTGGTTCGGGGCTCCATGGCACCCAGTGGAACCCTGCCCTCCCTGGTTGGGAGACCATACGCAGCCTGTAAATCCTCTTGTGCCCGGTGCTCCTGTCCTGGGAGGGGGGCCGGTGCGCCTCTGCATCACACATGGAGCGGAGGGGTCAGGGGTGCCCCGCACCTGGCTGTCGGACACGACACTGGAGGAGCCCTCTGAAAGGCTCTTTGACACCAGTTTCAGATCCCACGCTGACGAATGTTCCCGCTCACCCTTAAAGCCACCGAACAAAGCAGGTCTTTGGCCAAAGCTCCTGTCTCCAGTCCCTACCCTTCTCCCTCCCCCATTGTCCTCTTGATTTCCCAGAGGTACCTGTCAGAGCAGGGGCAGGGTGGGATGGGGTGAAGCCAGCCCTGGAGTGGAATCCCAGAGCCTTGAACTGCTTTACCCCCTTGTACCTTTCATGGCCCACCCAGGAGGACAGCTGGGAAGGGTGTTGGGCCCCAAATTCATCCTTTACCTTCCTAGCCTAGAGAGGAGCAAACATTCTGAGAGACTGAGCGTCCCCCCACCGCCGCCCGAGTGTTGTAGGAATAAAGATACATGATCCCCCAGAGCCGTCAGGGCCGGGGGGGGGGGGGGGGGCGGGGGGGGCGGGGGGGGGCAGTGGGTCAGACTCCTGGCGGATCTGGGTTCAGATTCCATGTGCTCTCTCTCTGCATTGGTTTCTCTTCTGTGAAATGGGGAGTCCGTGCCTATGGATGGGTCTGTAGTGAGGATTATGTGGGGCAACGATGGCACGTGTCCTCGTACAGGGCTGGCGCATCCTCAGTTCACAGTAAACATGACTGAGGCCCAGAAGGACCGAGTGGCCCATGCTCGGCACCTTCCTGCCGCAGAAAGGAGGCTTCCCTGTTTCCAACCCCCTGGGCTGTTGCCCCCCGGTGAAGGCTTCCACAGGTCCTGGCTCTGTAGAAACGACAGGCCCTGGGCCACTCAGTGGTCACAGCCACCGAGCAGCTGCTCTGCGCGGGCCCTGGCTGCTGAATGTGCCCGGCCAAGGCCGTTGCAGGCCCCGCGGGGAGGCAGCTGTGCTGTGGGGAGGCAGCAGAGGCCGTGATGGATGCTCAGAGGCAGCGTCCATAAAGGAAGGGGCACAGACAGCCCGGGAAGGACTGAGGACGTGTGCGGTGTTGACCTTGCTGCCGTGGCCCGCGGTCCCTCCGCAGGCCCACACTCTGTGCTCCAGAGGGGTCAAGGCATTTGTGGTCTCTGAGGCCCCGGGGCCTGCTGGTGACTTCGTGTTTTTGAGAAGACCCGCGTCACCTGCTGAGTCCAAACCGAGCGCGAACACCCCCCCCCCCCCCCCCCCCCCCCCCCCCCCCCCCCCCCCCCGTCTCCGGCTGAACCGCCTCTGCCTGTTGGGCCTCCCGCAGTGGGCACCGCGAGGCCTCCCTGTGGCCCCGGCCAGCTGCCCCTGTCACCCCCCTGCCTCTCGGGATTACTCAGCCTCCACAGCGCCTGTCACCGAGATGCCGAGAGCATTCTTGACGGCCTCTCTTCAGGAAAGGCTCAGGCTGTGTGGCCTTTTAAAAAGGCTCCGTGCCCGGGTTAAGCCTCTGATTGTGGTTCTGCATGGAGAAACCATAAACCAAAGGAAAAGGGGTGGTTCAGCTTTGGTCTTGGAGCTTTGTGTCAGCGTCTGCCTGAGTCCCCCGCCCGGGGTTGAACGTGGGCCCCACGGGCAGGCCGGGATGCCGCCCTGATCGCTGCGGAGACGGGGAGAGTCGGGGAGGTCCAGGGGCGCCCCGTCCTGCTCTCGGGTGCTGGGCTCCACTCTAAGGCTGGGCTCTCGGGCACGGGGGCCTTCGGGGGGCGGGGGCCGGGCAGCTCCTGCATCGAAGGCACCAGCCCCAGGCCCTGGCAACCTGGGCTCTTCCCTCCAGGCCAAGGGCTCAAGAGTGACACCGGGTCCGCGGGCTGAGGCTGGGACAGCCTGGTCACTCACTCGGGGTCCTGCCAGTGTTGGGGGGCTTGCCCCCCCCCCCCACCCACCCCCCGGGGAGTGCGAGAGCTCTGAGGCGGAAGGCGGCCTGCACCTGCAGGAAGCCTGGCTTCAGTGGAGTCAGAGCGAGCAGGCCATCCTGGGCAGCGCTGAGCCCCCGCCGCCGCCCAGTGGCCATGTCGTCACCCTGGTTGGGGGATGGGGCTTGGCTCTCCCCTCCCCGGGGTGCAGGCGGCTGCACCGAGGGCCAGCAGCCTCTCCTCCCGGAGGCCACCACGTTGCGCATGCCGCCTTTGTGGAGAGAGCGCTCAGGAAAGTCGCCCTTGCTGCCAGTTCTGTTTGCCTCCACAACGCTCCCCAGGACAGGGGTTTCCAGATCCCCTCTGTTTCCTGCAGCGGGGTTAGCCCCACGGGGGGGTGAGTCGGCAGCACCATCCCCGAGGCCCCTCCCGCCCCACAGCCCGGGGCTGGGCCTTCCCGCAGCGGCCCCGCGGCGCCACCTCCCGGCCACGGTGCCCTCACCACCTCCTGCACTCGCCCGGGCAGCTCCTGTAAGCAGGAGGCACCAAAAAGTGCTCTGAAGCCCACTTCCCATCGATCTGTGATGCCCGTGGCTGTGCGTGCCGGCCTGACCTTTCTGGGGCTGCCTTGCCAAGCCTCCCGTTCAGATGGCCTTGTGTTTCCAAAGCCTGGATTAGCAGGGCAGGAGCGCACAGCTGCAGCCTAGAAGCAGGGCCCTCAGCCTAGGTGCCTCCCAGGGGCTTGGCCTGCCCGCGGTTTATGGGTCAGGCCTCGTGCCCGTGCACTCGGGGTGCCCGTGCGGCCGGGTTGGTGAGGGAGAGTGTGGCCGCCTCCCTGCAGCTGCTGCTGTGTCAGTTCTCTCACCTGTTGCCCTGGCCTGGCCTCTGTTCTGCTGCCACTGACCCAGCACCTGGGGAGCAGAACCGCAGCCCCACTAACGAAGGGGCCTTAGGTCTCTCCCTTTTCTAGAGCAGCTAGTTTTGCAAACTGGGGTCTGTTGGGGGGCATTTTCGCCTTGGTCAGCGTCACTGTTGAGGGTACCTTCACTGTGCTGCTATGGGGGGCAGCACGGCAGGACCCCCGGCTCCGGGACCTGGCCCCCTCATCGAGTGCCTCTCCCCTGCCTTGGAATGAAGTCCAACTTCTCTGCATCTCATTTCCCAAGCCAGCGAGCCTGCTGTTTCCTCTTTAGAGACATGTCGGTCTGTCATCTGCGGGACGAGCGGATGTGCTATGTCCCGGCAGGGCTTACAGTTCGGAGGGGATGTGTGCACAGGGTCCCTTTGGACAGAGTCGCCCTGTAGCTAATGGCTCATCTTCCGTCTGCTCTAGGCCTGGTCTCCAAGTCCTCTCCTAAGAAACCTCGTGGACGGAACATCTTCAAGGCCTTTTTCTGCTGTTTTCGTGCCCAGCATGTTGGCCAGTCAAGCTCTTCCACTGAGCTCTCCGCATACAAGGAGGAAGCCAACACCATTGCTAAGGTAGCTAGATGAGGCTGGTGCGGTGCCAGCAAGGGCGCCCCTGCAGCCACGGCGTAGTTTGCCCTGAAGTCTCAAAGTCTCTGGCTCAGAGGCCCTTCCTCTGTCTTTCCCAAAGCAGTCCATCTCCTTTCTCCTGGCTTCCCTTTGCCATGTGGGCCATTTGGCCCTCCCTGGAGTTTCTGAGAGCCCCTTCGGGCCAGAACCTTCCAGGTTCCAGGAACTTTGCAAGGCGCTTTGCATATATTATCTCAGGTTATCTGTAAGGGCAGCCCCGCTGGGAGGTTCACGGGATATTCCCACTTACACACCTGGAAACTGAGCCAGAGGCTTTGTGTAGCCCCAAAGACTTACTGGCTCCTAAAGAGTCCAAGCTCTATGGTCTCCGGCTGCAGCTCCTATGTTTGTTGTCTGTACCATCCAAAGCTGTCTTCCAAGTTACCTGACTTCCCGGGAAGCAAGGAATTGAAGTTCCGCCACACCCTGGACACCCTCTTCCAGCCCTCCCAACTGGGGGGGGGGGTGTCATAGAATAATGCGGATAATGGATGTCTTTGAGCCTCAGGCTGAACAGAAGGTCTCTCTGCATCTCAAGGGTGGGGACAGCCCAGACCAAAACCCCACCTGCCTCTTAAGGCCCTTGAGTACTTCTCTCAGAAAGATCAAGGCCTTGCTGTCCTTTTCCTCTCTCATAACCAGACTGAAGACGTGTATGTATCAGTGTGTTATCCAGTAGGGGAAAATGGGTTAATAAAGTGCAGTCTGACAGTATTACTTAGCAATTGATTTTTACAGAGTTCACAATAACATGGAAAAGTATCGAGTTGCAACATTAAATCGAAAAGCAGAATATGAAATTACCTATCGCGGGTAGAAGCCGCTGAAGCAGACCTGAAAGAAATACACTAAAATGCCAACATTAACTCTTCCTAAACGCTGGGATTTTCATTTTTTTTCAGGGCTTCCATTAAGGGCACGAATCAAAAAAAAAAAAAAAAAAAAAAGGACACGAATCACTTTGTACAGCCCTCACATTTTTATTACTAGCAAAATGCCAGGGAAGCCTTCTGACCTCTCTGTACTCCGCCTCTCCTCACGTTCCAGACCCCACGGTGTGGGTTCACACTGGCTTACATGATGTTTTGTAGGGGACCAGCACCCTCCCCCCACTGTGTATCTCCCCACCCCAAAAGAGGGTACAGAAAACATGTGTTCTCTAAGGGAAGCTTGGGCTCCAGGACTCAGCAAGAGGCTGAACCACCACGCTGAGGAGTTCCAATTTTGCTTCTGCCTCTGATTCCGTGTCCCTGAGTCAGCCACTGGGGTGCCCTGTTGCTCAGTTTGTCCAACCTAGAGGAAGTGGCAACTGAGGAATGGAGACACTGCCTTCTTCATCAAATCTAGTGATGAAAGGCAGCACTGCCCCCCCCCTTACCTGTCCAGCTCTTAGGAAGAGTCACTTACAGGGCGCCTGGCTGGCTCCGTCAGTAGAGCGTGAGACTTTTGGCCTTAGGGTCATGAGTTCAAGACCCATGTTGGGCATAGAGCTTACTTTAATAAAAATGTCACTTTTTTATGTCAGGCCCTTCCACGGGGCTGGGGTCTTGGGGAGAAAATCACCCTCCAGGCCTGAGGTGGAAGCAGTGGGCTTTAGCTGGGATGGCGTTGGCTGCCTGGCACTGACTGCCTCCTCTTCTCCCACAGTCGGATCTGCTCCACTGCCTCCAGTACCAGTTTTATCAGGTATGTGAATCGAACAAGGTACATGCTCAGAAGCCCCAGACCCCGTGATCACTTAGGGTGGTGCCCTCATTCCTTAGTGCCTGGCTGCCACCACCTTGGGGAGCCATTTGTCCCAGATACTTGCTGAGGGCCCATTCTGTGCAAGGCATTAGATTTCGGGGGGACAGCTGACCTCTGTCCCACGCCAGCCCTGGCCTGCCTCTCAACATGCAGGTCACTACATAGTCCAGTGGGAGGCTGGAGCCGAGCCATTTCTGTCTCTTCCTCTAGCTCTCAGCCTTCAGATGGCGCCTCATCTGGGTTGAAGTTGGGGGTTTTCTGTACCTTGCGATGAGCCCAGTTCTTCCCAGAGTTCTGAGGAGAACACTTGGGCTTTCTTGGTGGCTGACCTCAGCAACCTGGCTCTGGTTTCAGATCCCGGGGACCTGCCTGCTCCCAGAGGTGACAGAGGAAGATCAAGGAAGGATCTGCGTGGTCATTGACTTGGATGAAACCCTTGTGCATAGCTCCTTTAAGGTAACTCCACATCTGGAGTTCTTCCTCCGTGCATCTGCAGCTGGCTTGTGTGTCTAACTGCAGGTGCTTGCAGGGCGCCTATGGCATTTTGGCCCTGCTGGCACAACAGGTACTCAGAGGCCGCACTAAAGAACGTGGATTAGGAATCCCCGTTCCCCTCGGCCGCTGCCGACAGTCTTGGGCTGCCCCTGGTCATGCAGCCCAGAGAGCCACTGGGGCTCTGAACAGGGCAGCCCTGTTGGAGGGTCTGAACCAGCCTTGGACCTTGCCCGCCCCCCCTTCGCGTATGGTCAGGGTGTTGGTTAACTCAGGAAGGCCCTGGGACTCTCAGGTAGAATCAGGGGTGGTGGTAAGCAGGGAAAGCCAGGAGGGGATACTGTGCTCCTTAATGGGGTGGTGGGGGGAGCTTCCTGGGGTCCCCGAGATCTGTCCCTCCTGGCTCCTCCCAGGGGACAGTGCAGTGGCTGTGGCAGGAGCTTCTTGTCTCCTTCCCACCGTGCTGACCTCATTGACTTTTCTGCCTTCCAGCCAATCAACAATGCCGACTTCGTAGTGCCTGTAGAGATTGAGGGGACCACCCACCAGGTGAGCTGCCTGCCAGGCCTCAGCCAGCCCAGAGGCCTGCGGTCCTCTGCCCCCTCCGATCTGCTCCATCAGTTTGTCTCTTTCCTGCAATTTCAGCCTCTCCTTTATTGGTACCTCTCACACTCAGGGCTTTATGATCTTAAAAAAAAAAAAAAAATCAGCCTCTCATCCCCTTCTAGCTGCTTTTTTTTTTTTTTTTTGCTTTGCAGCCAAGCTGTGTTTAAAATCAAATGTCACTCAATAAGAGAAATAGCTGTCATTTACTGAATACCACCCCCTGGCCAGGGGGGCCAGTGCTAAGTGATGGCGTTCTCACTAATCTGGAGGAGTTGCTGTCTCTGCCTGTTCCGGCAAGGAAGCCAGGGCTAGCTGTCTACTCTCCTCCTGGCCCACCCACTCGGTCTAGCTAGTGACTTTCTTCCTCCCCAGCCCTGGCATCTCTTCCTCTGTGAAGCGTCTCCACTTCCCCTCCCCTTAGGTCCCTGCACTGGATTCTGCCCCAGGAAATGCTATCAAAGAGCACTTCAATCCAAGTAAGCTCAGGCTCTGGCCCTGCATAACCGGCTCAGTCTGGGATCCTGTGGTGGTGACTGTGAGAAAACATTTACTCCAAAGGCTTGCCCAGAAGGCCTGCCAACTGGCCCGGGAGTTGAGGACATCAGGAACAATGCTCTGGTAGCCCTGATACCTGTTGGCATGGCCTGGTCAAATAGAAAAGTTACTTATAGGGAGGGTGAGGATGGAGGTTCCCCTGAGGAGTCACCACGATCCTGTGTCCCTTAGAACTTTATTTTTTTTTTTAAGATTTATTCATGAGAGACACAGAGGGAGAGAGAAGGAGACAGGCAGAGGGAGAAGCAGGCTCCATGCAGGGAGGCTGATGTGGGACTCGATCCTGGGACTCCAGGATCACGCCCTGGGCGGAAGGCAGGCACTAAACCACTGAGCCACCCGGGCATCCCTCCCTTAGAAGTTTAGTTCCCAACACCACCGCCTCCCTACTGAGGCCCAGCACCTGCTCAGGACCAGGCTTGGCCCTTGGACTGCCCAGGTCTGCGCAGCTGCCCCTCACAGTCCAGTTGAGGGTATGGAGATGTATGAAGCCTGCAGAGAGAAGATGAAGGCATATTTTCAAACAGGCCAATATGCACTGTGAACTCCTGGCTTGACAGGGAGAAGCATGCATCTTGAAAAAGGGCTGAGATTAACATTGGGGGGTGGCTCCCTTCAGAAGGTGGGTTTTCAGCAAAGAGTGGGGAGGAGATGCCAAGCTTGATGAACAGCCAGGAAGAGGGGGAGGGACCTGTTAAAGGTTGAAGAAGTGGCAGATGCAAGGGAGCCAAGTTGTGGCTACTTGGAACAGAGGGTTCCTGCTGCAGAGCCACCAGGGGCCTGGGGACTTGGTGGCCATAAGGCCACCTCCAAGGAGGGAGAGAGGCATGGCAGGTGCTCATTGAGCAGGGAGTCACATGGATGAGAAGCTTTGAAGGAATGCCTCTACTCCCATGGAGGCTGGTGCGCAGGAAAGATCCTGGAGACAGTAGCATGCGGAGTGAGGAGAGGCAGGCCCATGAACCTTTTAGGCCAACTATACAAGGTCCTGAAAGGTGGACGTGAGTGTTAGGGATGGCTGGCTGGGCAACACAGACCGGTGTGGCACATGAGAGCAAGACGTGCAAGGTGTCCGACCTGCAGTCACTGAGGGAGTCACTTCTCCCTGGCACATTTCAGAGAAGCCGAGTGAGGACGTGAGGTTTCACAAGTGCCAGTGACCTTGCCTGTTGGTGACCCGGACAGACTGCCCCTCCAGAGCCAAGGACAGGAAGCTCCCACAGAGGCTGTGGCTGGATTCAAGTAATCCAGGATAGGCTGTTTCCGTCTGTGAGGCCTATTCTTGATTACTTGTTTCTGGAGGCAGCTGATGGTCCGCCGCCTGAAACAGAGATGGCTTCTGGGACCCGGGCGTGTGCGTTTCTTCCTTTGGGGGGTCGGGGTGGGGCGCCCAGCCCGCAGAAGCCTGGTGAGGTGACACCAGTGCCCCAGCCTGTGGGCAGAAGGTGTCCAGCCAGACGGCCCCAGAGGTTGGGGTGTAGGGGCCGCAGAGTGAGGTGCCCACCTGCCGGCTGCCGTTGGTGGACACAGTGATGGTGACCGTGTCTGGGGCTGCCCCCCTACCCCACGGCCCCAGCAAGCCTCTCTGCCCTCCCTCAGGTGTATGTGCTCAAGAGGCCTTATGTGGATGAGTTCCTGCGACGGATGGGGGAACTCTTTGAATGTGTGCTCTTCACTGCCAGCCTGGCCAAGGTACCTGCGGCGGGAGGGGAGGCGGTGCGGGTGCGGGTGCAGGTGCGGCAGCTCCGGGCGGTGGGGCCTCGGGCGGCACCCCTCGAGGAAGGGGCGGGCGGGGCGTCAGCGCCCAGCACCCCTCTCCTCCTCTCCTCTCCTCCCAGTACGCCGACCCGGTGACCGACCTGCTGGACAGGTGTGGGGTGTTCCGGGCCCGCCTGTTCCGGGAGTCCTGCGTGTTCCACCAGGGCTGCTACGTCAAGGACCTCAGCCGCCTGGGAAGGGACCTGAGGAAAACCCTCATTCTGGACAACTCGCCCGCCTCCTACATCTTCCACCCGGAGAATGCAGTGAGTGGTCGCGCCTGTCCGCGGGCGGGGCTGGAGAGGAGGGCGGGGCCTGCGGGAGGTGGGGAGGGCGGGGCCTGTTGGAGGGGCGGGGCCTGCTGGATGGTGGGGACGGGGCTGGAGGGGAGGGCGGGGCCTGCTGGATGGTGGGGACGGGGCTGGAGGGGAGGGCGGGGCCTGCGGGAGGTGGGGAGGGCGGGGTCTGTTGGAGGGAGCTGGAGAGGAGCTGATGAGGGCGGGGCCTGCGGGAGGTGGCGGGGAAGGCACCCCCAGGGGAAGGCGTGCCGCACACGCGCTTGCACACACACACACACACACACACACACACACACTCACGGCACCCTGCCGGCCTCCTGGGGAAGAGGCGGTCAGATTGACGCCACCCCTTCCTTGCCGCAGGTGCCTGTGCAGTCGTGGTTCGATGACATGGCAGACACGGAGCTGCTGAACTTGATCCCCATCTTTGAGGAGTTGAGCGGAGCAGAGGATGTCTACACCAGCCTGGGGCAGCTGCGGGCCCCTTAGCCTTCCCCGCTCCAAGCGATGGCCATCCCAGGAGGGGACCTTCCAACACTGTGCCTTTATGACCAGCCTGACGGAGCGGAAGCTGAGCCTCTCACCCAACGGGGCCTGGGGATAGAAGTGGCCGCACAGGGTTTTAGGACGGGATAGATGCGAGGTGGGCACATGTCAGACCCAGACCCACAGCTTGTCTGCTCCTGAGTTGGGTTCCCAAACGTGAGTGTGTGTGTGTGTGTGTGTCCACGTGACTGTGTGTGTCTGTGTGTCTCACCCTGAGTGCTGGCCCCACGATAGAAGTGTCTCAGGTGGAGAGAGAAACTGAAAGATGGAGACTCCCCAAGTTAGCATGTCTCCTCTCCAGTCACCCTGAGAGCCCCTGAGCTCGATCCAGAGAGGACTCTTGAAGGCTCTGTTGCCAAAGCCATGGCCTTTCCTTGGTGTCAGAAGGCTCGTGCCAAGGAGGAAGGGTGAATCAGAGGCTGCCTTCCGGTGTCCCACGCACACACCTCTGAAACCTTTCTCCAGCCAGCTACCGCAGACAGAAGACAACATGTCTGGAAAGATGAAAGCTTGTTTCCAGAACCAGTGGCGCCTGCAGCCATCAGGTCCACCTGCCTCCAGCCGAGTGCCTGGCATGGGCCCTCTCTGTCTCCCCGAGATGTGGGCGCCGGGCCTGCCTTCCTCGTCACCTAGCCATAGCCTCGAACCTGTGGGGAAAGAGGTCTTCTCCCCGCCCTGGAGGAGGACAAGTAACTTTTCCGTTCTTTAGACTCTTTTAAAATTCTCTTTCTAAACACAGAGCGTTGGGCCTGTTTTGTTTCTGACCAAGCTGCAGTCCAGGGCCTGAGATGAATGTGGGAAGCCTTGGGGGTACAGGGAGGAAGGAAACCCCCAAACCATGAATGTGTGTCCCCTTGGCTTGTAGATCAGCTGAGCTCGGGACTGTGTCCCTCCGTCTGCTCTTCAGGGATTCTCTGCTGGTGCTGGTGTGAGGACTTCTGTTCCAAAGTCCGGGAAGGGCGCCCCAGCCCGGCCCCTCCTGTGTCCAGGGCAGGGCTCTTTCCTGTTGTGTCTTCCCCGGGGCCTGGCAGTGCCTCTCATTCTGCTCCTGGCTTGTCCCTCCTGGCTGTTGCTTTGTCGCTCCAGGGCCTCTGAGGCGTTCCTGCTCTTCCCGGGAACGGCGTTCTCATCTTCTGTTTGCCAGCGTAATGCATATGCTGCCGCCTCCTGTCGCAGGTGCGAGCGAGCCCGGCACACACCTGCGCTTCACGTGGCTCTCGCTTCCAGAGTTTCTTAGTAGCGAATTCTTTAAAACAGAGCCACGAAACAGAAGTTTCCTGAGGATGGAAAAGGAGAAGTGCTGCTGTAGTTGGGAGCACAAGGGCCCCCCACAAGGGAGCCCCACCTCAGCATCACTGCCTTAATTATGGCTCCCCTGGGGCTGGCTGAGGTCCTCGCTCCTCCCTCCCTCCAACTCTCCCTCCCTCCAAGGCAGGAGGCACTTCCTTTCCCCATCTCTGCTTTCACTGAGGGCAAGGGTCACAGAGCATTTGTGAGTTGTTTCAGGTGAGGACACCCCCACTCAGGACTCCCCCTGTTATCCTTTTCAGTGTCCACACACGGGGTCAGCCTGAGGAATTGACCTGTTCTGAGCAGACCAGGTGGTGGAGCAGCAGCTTGGTGTTCTGAGTGGTGGGCCGACTAGAATCTTCCTCTAGCACTGTGGAACCACCTCCCCTACTTGTCCCAAGGTTGTGTGGCCTTGCGTTTCCCAGTGGTGTCACAGTGGAAGAGAGTCCCCGAAGCACGTGTGGTCACTGGGGTCCCGCAGGCAGGGGAAGAGGGCTCCGGCGCTAGCCAGGAACAATGCCGCCTGCGGGAGAGTGACAGCTTCGGATCCTAGGGTCCTGGCTAGGCCTCTGTCCTCACACTGGAAGGGGCCTCTCTCCAACCCCCACCCTGAGGGTTAGTCCTGGACCACATCCGCCCTCCGGGCCCAGCCAAGTTTTTCTGACCAAATAAGCAATAAGAGGCTCTAAGCTGATCCAGTTCCTAGGACCCTTTGTGCCCTCTTTGGGTCTCCGTGATTTTCCAGGTGAAGGGAGAGCCCGTGCCACCCCCTTTCCAATCAGGCTCGTCCGAAAGCCCTGGGTGGGCCTCGTGCCCAGAGCCCAGGATAGCTGGGCGGGCTTGCCCACTGCCCCCGCATGAAACCCCTGCCCTCTAGGCCTTGTTCCCAGCAGAACCGTGCCCTGCCCTGCCGGTCGACAGGTCCTCGACAGGAATATCCTCTTCCCTTTTTCCCCCTTCTCCTGCCTTCTGCAGAGAAGGAGCTTGGCCAAATAAACCTAAACCGGGTCCGTCCGTGTGGACCGGAGCCAGCCTGAAGTCATTATATGCTGTCTGGTTTCCAGTTTCATAGTGTTAGGGGCAAGTGATGATTGCAGACTTGCTCCTCAGAGGAACCTGGCCAGACTCCGTTTTGGAGGAGGGCACGATTGGGAGGGAAGCAGTTTAGCCCAGGATCTGTTCTGGGGCTCCCCACTGGCCCTCGCCGTTGAAGGCTGTCTTCAGCAGGTGGGGGGCCACTGTGCCTGGTCAGCCCCAATTCACGCCATGCCCGCCACGTTCGGGTCTGTAAGGTGCCTCTTCGGGGACACAGTGTGTCTCTCTGATTGGGCTTCTAAATCCAAAGCCTGATGTTCGTGTCCCTCTCATAGGGGGAGCTTTGGACACAGGACCAGTCTGGAAACAGTCAAGGTGAGAGTTTCCACTCTGCACATTGTAGAGGGGATGCTCTGCAGGCCCGTGGGGCCTTTACCCTAAGAGAGGTTCAGCACATTTGCCTCCAGTTAACTTGGGACCTTCTGTTTCGTTCCCTCCCACCTCCCAAAGATTTTGACCATTTTGTAAGTGTATAAACTCACCTCTGTTATTAACAGTGGCCCAGAAGCATCTTTGTGCTAAAAGCATGGGAAGTCTATACAGGCAGCCCTTCCTTGGGAGATGGATCCCGTTCAGATCTGCCCCTGCCCCGTTCCCCAAGCCTCATTCAGGAGGGCAGCCCCCACCCACGGAAGGCTGTCCTGAACCCCATGTCCCAGCCAGGCCAAGTGTCTGTGGAAGGTAAGCCTGTTTGCCCCTTCAGCTCTTCAGTCTGTCACCACTGTTGTTCCTCAGTCACTTTTTGTAAAAATGGGGTTGGTTTTGTCTCTTTTTTTTTTTTTCTTTTCTTTTTAAACGCCAATAAATACTTGCATTCAAGCAGGGGAGAGAAGGCAGGGGTGTGACCCCCTGGGGCAGACCCTCCTCTCTGGGCCCCAAGAGCTTTGCTTATAGTCCCCCCCCACATTTGACACATTCCATGTCCTGCCGCTTTCCCCCTCAAGAAGCCATTTGGAAGGCAGGGGGTCTGCTTCCCACTGTGACTGGGCTATGGGACACTGACTACCTTGCTTACGGATTCATGGTTTGATAAATTTGTTGTATTCAAAAACTTGAAATGTAGGACGCCATTAAGTGTCTGTTTATATTTTTGGAATATTTGTATTACTTACAATTAATTAATAAAAGCGAGTTTAAAAAACCCATCCAGGAATGGGAGCTGCTTCCTGATCCTGGTGTCGTTCATTCGGGAGTCACCGGCACACTCTTCTTCCCATGCATCCAACCCCTTGTGTCACGGCAAAGCTGCGCACCCAGGCTGGGCAGGCCATTGCTCTGGCCGCCGTGTGGAAGCAGCTCCGTTGCCATCCAGGTGCTTGATAAGCATACACTTGGTGTCCTACTGACTTCTGGGAATGAACCAGGAGCCCCGAGGGACTAGGAGTCTTCTGTGCCCCTTACTGCTTCTCCCAGACTGGGATCCCCGGAACCTAGAATCGATGGTTCTTGGCACATAGTAGGCACTCAGATTCTGGTTGGACTGTTGTATGGACCCCAAGGGAAGCCCTAAAGAGCAAAACAGGATGACCTAATATAACACATCCTGGCCCTCCCCTAGACCTCTCTGCCTCTGAGAAATGCCCAGAAGCTTCTCAGGGAGGCACTTGCCAGCTCAGGCACTCAGGAGCTCCAGCTCAGGCTCCAGCCCCTGCCTCCTGTCATCAGCATAATGCATCCATATCTACAATATGGCAAATTTCATATCCTCCCACCCTCTTTCCCTGCATTATTGATGGGCTATGCACTTTTAAAAAAATCAATTAGATCAGGGTGTGGAGCTGGAGTCCAAAGAAAAGGGAGGCCTTTAAAAGTCCGCTCTTCTTGTTTCTGCCGTTTTGAATAGGAGCAGATAAAGCTTCCCCTCTGGTTTGAATAAGTCAAGCCCAGGGCTAGGTTGGCCGTGATTGGCCAGCACTGGGAAAATGAGGTTAAGATGCAAACACAAGCAAATATAACCCGGAGTCTGTGCGGCCATTGCTAAGCTAAGGCAGCAGGAGCTGGCGCCTCCCGTCCCGGGTGGTTCTCGGATACCGCCTGGAAACCTGGTGGGAGCCCGGCCGGAGAGCAGGCAAGGTAAGGTCGGCTTGGTGCCGGCTTGGTGCGTGGGTGCACGTCACTAGAGCAATCCTACTGAACTCGGAAGGAAGAGCAGATTGAAATTTCTGTGCCTTTGTTTTCTTGCATGAGGCTTTTAAAAGATTCAACCAGGAGTTTGTAACCAGTTGTGCAAACGTCCCGCTGAGCAGTGAAAGCCCTTTTTTAGGAACCACTGAACAGATAGGGCACCTTTTCAAAAGCTGGGAAATAAGGAGACTGCCTCATCCGCCTAGCTCAGAAAGATGGAGTTTGGGGCAAGGCACGGGTCAGAAGGGGCCTGGGCTTGGAGTCCACTCACGGGGCTCTCTGGAAGAGTGAAGGGCCACTAGCTGCTTGCCTGGGGTTTCAAACCCGCATCCCACCCTGCGGTGCGGTTTCTGCGGTGCCGGTGCCGAATTAACAGACTTGGGGAAGAGGGACGATGAAGCTGAGCTTTGGGGGACTTCAGTGTCACAAACGCAATCATTTTCTGGGTCCTCCAGTGTGGCAGGAAGTCCCTGCTTTGAGCATGTCCTCTCCTTGGTTGGTGGGCCCTGGCCCCGGAGCTCCTTCCCCATCCATGGCTAAGTCCCTGCTGGGAAATAGGACGGCTTTTGGCCTCTGAGAGTCACGGCCCGAGGTAATGCCAGTTGGTTTGCTTTTACCAGGTTGAAACTTTTCGGTTTTCAAGAAATGAATTCATTGGCCCTCATCCCCTTCCCCTCCTTGGGTCACGGCATTTGCCTTCAGTGAATGAAATCTAGGGTCTGAAAAAAAACCTGAACAAATATTTCCTGGCAGCACAGGGCAGGCGGGTGGGGCAGCAGGAGTCAGCAAATTAAATCCTCAACCACTGGCTGCTCCGAGTGGCCGCCCTGCTTTGGTCTTGCTACAGCAGTACACAAAGGGAGTCTGGCTTTTTGTTTTGCCAAAGCCCATGTTAGATAATGGCACAAACTCTCCAAACCTGGCTTCGTCCACTGAGGGTGGAAGGGCCAGACATGCTCCTCAACGAGAGCGAGATGCCCCACACGGCCCCACACGGCCTTTCTGGGTGGGTTGTGCTTTTGGGTTTGTTTGTTTGTTTTTCTTTATGCAAATCCATCTTTTTTCCTTTGCCTCTTGAGAGCATTCATCAGTTATAGGTATTATCCGAATGCAAGCTCCTTGAGAGCAAGAACCAGGCGGGCATTTCACGTATATACGAGGCCCCAGGTGAGCTCGGATGTGTGTAAACACCGATAATCCCAGAGGTGCCTTGAATCCAGACGGTACCCCCTCGGCCCGCACTTCACGGCTTCCTCCTCCTCCCACCCCGCCCTGTGGGCGGCCGTGGGAGGGGACAGGGAGGGCCTGGGTGGGGGGACACCCAGCCCTTCCCCCTGGCATCCCCAACTCCGCAGTTGGGGGACAAATGCAGGATGGGCTGTTTGAGTATAGGATAGCTTACCTGAAAGGGAAAAGTCTGGAAAGGCAAAGCCCAGAGGAGAAGTCAACACGCTGACTGAGCAGAGAACCTGGCAATCGAGGACTCTGGGCAGAGCCGACGGATGACAGAGAAGGCCGCAGTCACACTTGTGTATGACACTTGGGGATGTGTCACACTTGGGAACGTTCGGGCCTCAGCTCAGCGTAGGAAGGGCCGCAGAACCTCAGCGAACCCAAAGCGCAGGGTTTAGGGCCAGACATGGATTTGGCTGCCGTGCGTGACGCCGGGCAGGTTACTGAACCTCTCGAGCCTCAACCCGCCTACGATGTGAGATGAAAATGTACTCAGTTCATAGAATCAGATGACAAAGTGACGCCACCAGGGCCTGCCGCATTTACCAGCCCTTAGCAGGTGACTGGGCTGCCACCAGGGCTCCTGACTCACTCGGGCGCACGTGGGAACCTGGGCAGGTCATTGCCCCGTCGCCGCGGAGCCGTGCAGGCGCCCCGAGGACGCTGCAGGGTGGCCCACAGGAGATAGGACAGGACTTAGGGGAAAGCCGCAGGGATGCCGGCGCCACCGGCGTCACCTCCCTGGCTGTGTCGGTGTTGCAGGCCCAGGAACGCGAGCGCCATGTCTCTGAGCAGCGCCTTCAGGGCTGTGGGCAACGACCCTGGGCTCATCACCTGGAGGATAGAGGTGAGCTGGCTGGGGCGGCCTCCTCCGCACTCGGGCCGGCCGGCGCTGGTCGCCCGGTCGCCCCGGCACGCCCTCAGTCTCCTGCCTTTGGGAACGGCCAGGGGCGGCATCGGGGTCACCTTCTCCTACCCTTGACCCTGTCTGGGTACCCGAAGCAGGTGGTGGCAGGTGGAGGAAAGGCTTTCAGCCTGGAGAGCGGGGCTCCAAGCGAAAGTCAGCTTGCCATCTGCTCAGTGAGTCTGCACTTGCAGGGAATGCCCTGGAGAAATGGGTGGGGCCCCCGCCCCCCCCTGCCCCCCCTGGCCGTTTCTGTCAGAAGAGGGAACCTTCTCCCGCAGGGCAGTCGGACCCCTGCAGTGGGAGGGGCGGGGTTACTGCGGAGATGGGGCACCGTGCCCGCCTCCCCCCTCCGGCCAGAGCCCCTGGGGCTCCCCCAGTCCCCTGCCAGCATCCGCTTCCCCTGGAAGGAGCCCCTGCCAGCATCCGCTTCTCCTGCTGAGGCCCAGGGAGGGGCGGCTTCAGGAAACCCTTAAGGTTCCCTGTTTATTTAGAAATAGGTACTAAGTCACATATACCAGCTACATGTGTGGTATATTTAACATTTTTACATGTAGCACACACACTGTACGTAGAATATACACAGGTGTGACTGCAGGTTTAGGTCCCTTGGAGAGAGTGATGAAAATCCGTATCAGGCCATGTGACTGGCTCTCCTGGGACAAGCCGCATGTGCAGGTGACACCTCAAGCTCCCTCCTGCACCCAAGTCCAGGCGCAGAGCCCCACGCACTGCCCCCCCCACGTGTCACAGCCCCCAGCGCCCCCAGGTCAGGGCGCAGCACAGTGCTGGAGGTGAGGCTGCGGGAGGTGAGGCCAGCAGGTGGGGGGCCGCCAGGGTGAGGACAGGGCACCGTGCGGCAGAGCTCAGCGGAAGCCGGAGGGGTGGCCCCGCTAATCCTGTGGCCAGCCACCCTGTGGGGCCCTGGGGACCCCCAGCCCACCTGTCCCCGCCGCCTGAACCAGACGATGGAGACGACAGGGAGGCTGGCAGGTGGGAACTGGAATGCGGACGCTGCACCCCCCTTGTCATTCCAGAAACTGGAGCTGGCGCTGGTACCCCTGAGCGCCCACGGGAACTTCTACGAGGGGGACTGCTACGTCATCCTCTCGGTGAGCACCAAGCCCCCGGGCCCCGCAGCCCCTGCCCTGGGAGCCGCCGGCCCCTGGGTTCTTCCTCGGTGTGGAACAGAGCGGGCGTCGGTCTGACTCTCAGAGGCCACTCTTAGGGGATGGGCCTCAGCCTGAACCTCAGCGTAGCCTGCAAGCAGCATTTACCCCTCCCGGGCCCAGACCCCACATTAAAGTGCCATGGAGGGGGCCCCCCTGGGTGGCTCCGTTATTGAGTGTCTGCCTCCGGCCCGGGGCGTGATCCGAGGGTCCGGGGATCGAGGCCCGCATCAGGCTCCCCATGTGGAGCCTGCTTCTCCTCCCCCTGCCTGTGTCTCTGCCTCTGTGTGTGTTTCTCATGAATAAATAAATAAAATCTTTAAAAAAAAAAAAAAAAAGCAAAGAAAAAACAGTAAAGTGCTGTGGAGGAAGGCCAGATAAATACCAGGCCGGCCTCCAGGGCTCGTCCTAGCTGAGGAGACACTGGCCGCGGATCGGGGCGGGGGGAGCACGGTAAGGCCGCAGCCCAGCTTGGGAAAGGCCCTCCCCGGGCTCACGCAGCTGGATGGCTGCAAGCTGTCGCTGTCCCCGAACGTGGGAGGACCGTGAGGGCTGCCCAGCCCGCCCACCCGGCCCGGCAGGCTGTGTTCTTCCCACGGCGAGGGCCGGCACCCGGGGCTGAGCCGGCCCCTGACCCCGTCTCCGTGGACGCCCAGACACGGAGAGCGGGCAGTCTCCTGTCCCAGGACATCCACTTCTGGATCGGCAAGGACTCCTCCCAGGATGAGCAGACGTGCGCGGCCATCTACAGCACGCAGCTCGATGACTACCTGGGGGGCAGCCCCGTGCAGCACCGCGAGGTCCAGTACCACGAGTCTGACACCTTCCACGGCTACTTCAAGCAGGGCATCATGTGAGTAGTGGCACCGGAGCCAGGGCCCGGATGGCAGGCTGCCAAACAGGAAAGCACGAGGGCCAAGTATAGGAAGAGCCAGGGAAATACAAATCCAAAAAAAAAACCACACAAAAAGGCTTTGGCACCTGCTATCAGAGTAGGGCGGATTAGAGAGCTGGGTGGAGGCGCTGTGGCAAGGCTTCGGGGAAACAGCTCGCATGCCCCACTGGTGGCAGCGAGGACAGCGCGGCAGCCTGAGGAGCAGCCTGCTGCCACTGAGGCGGATCCCACCCCTGGGTGTGCAACTCAAGGGCTCCCCGTGCACCCAGGTCCGCGAGGGCGCATGAAGCAGAGTTCACAGCAGCGTCACGAGTGGTGGCGCGAAGCTGTAGGCAACGTGAGTGCCCATCTCTGGGACAGGGGACAGGAAAAAATACTGCCATGAGTATGGGCAGCAGCCGCACGCAGGGGACCAGACACGGGTGCCCTGTGGACAGGTCTTTAAAACACAGGTACTTGGCAAAGTGAGGGACAGACTTGAAACACACGACAATGCCAGTTTCTGTCATTTGGGGATTTTTTGTTTTGTTTTTAAATACATGCCCGCAAAACAACGAGACACATTTAGCAGAATGAAAATAAAAGACAGCTGTCCGGCTGCAGGCAGAGCTGTGCGGAGCGGAGGGCGAGGGCGGGCACGCGCCCGCAAAGGCGCCCGCAAACCTGCAAACAGGACAGGGGGCCTGAAAGGCCGGGGTGGTGGCGTCCCGGGAACTGAGGAGTCTAATTGCCTTGAGGCTTTGCGCTTGAGATCGGAAACCAAGAGAGAAGCCCGGTGAGCCCGGGACTCCCAGGCTGGTCCCAGGCTAGCGCCCTGCACAGTGGCACTGGCACTGACCGAGGACCCGCCGGGCACAGCGCCCCACAGGCTTCGCGTGTCCTTCAGTGCAGGACACCTGGGATGGAAGCGGGGTTGGCGTAAACTCCAGGGGTGCAGGGCCGATTCCCAGGGGGCTGCTCTCACGGCCACCGTGTCACGAATGCTTCTGCTGCTGCCCCACTCGTGCCCCTCTCCTTGTCACACGCTGATCTCCAGACAGTTGCTGGGACAAGACAAGCTTGTGCTATGGGGCCCTCCACGCTGCTGCGCCCTCTGGAACCCCCGTGGTCTGTTTGTCGGTTCCTAGTCCTCTTCATATGTCAGCTTGACAGTCCCTCCTTCAGCGAGGACGGCCCTGACCACCCTGTCACCGCCACCTCTGTGGGCCTCCTTTCCCACCATCGCCCCTACGGGCAGGGGCTGCACCTGCCTAATTGCCAAGGGTCACCCGGGCCTAGCCCATCCGTAACTGGGTGCCCTTTGCATGTCCCCTCAGCTACAAGAAGGGGGGCGTGGCCTCTGGGATGAAGCACGTGGAGACCAACACCTACGACGTGAGGCGGCTGTTACACGTCAAGGGGAAAAGCCACATCAGGGCCACCGAGGTAAGTCCCGCCCACTGTCTGCTGGGCCCGGGGCTCCAGCCCTGGCGCCTGAGGAGTCCCCCCCAACCAACACCTGCTTCTCCCCTGCAGGTGGAGGTGAGCTGGGACAGCTTTAACCGGGGTGACGTCTTCTTGCTGGACCTTGGGAAGGTCATCATCCAGTGGAATGGCCCAGAGAGCAACAGCAGAGAGCGCCTGAAGGTGTGGCTCTTCCCAGGCTCGTCACCTTCCCCTCCGCCTCGGGCCTGGTCGCCTGGTTGCCTGGTCGCGGGGCTTGTGCTCTCTCAGTTCTCTCAGTTGCCTGTTGTGTCTTCTTTCCTCCCCGCGGGGTCTTCTGGGAGCTGCGGAGACAGACCCCTGCCTCTGAGTGGAATCTGTTTCGGGGACAGGCAAAGTGCATGAGTCTGTGGCTCACCCCGGGGGTTTTGTTTGTTTTTAAGATTTTATTTATTTATTCATGAGAGACACAGGGAGAGAGGCAGAGACACAGGCAGAGGGAGAAGCAGGCTCTGTGCAGGAAGCCTGATGCGGGACTCGATCCCAGGACTCCAGGATCACGCCCTGAGCCAAAGGCAGATGCTCAACCGCTGAGCCACCCAGGGATCCCTCACCCTGGGGTCCTAAGCCCCAGAATAACTCCTGTGTCTGGGGCCCAGCAGGGACTGAGTGCCTCCTTGGGCTTCTTGACAGGCCATGCTTCTGGCAAAGGACATTCGGGACAGGGAGCGAGGAGGCCGTGCTGAAATCGGCGTGATCGAGGGGGACAAGGAGGCAGCAAGTCCGGAGCTGGTGAAGGTCCTGCAGGACACCCTCGGCCGGCGCTCCATCATCAAGCCAGCTGTGCCCGATGAGCTCATAGATCAGCAGCAGAAATCAAGCATCGTGCTGTATCAGTGAGTAACTAAACCTGGCTGCTGCTTGGAAGCTGGGACAGGGGGATGGCGTCCCCTAGAAAACCAAGCACCTGTGCCTGCCTCCTGGTTAGGGCATCTGGCTTTCTTTTAACCCTTTTCAAATGCAGCTTTTAGAAGGAGCTCGGTGTTCCCCGCTCAAGGGGGGCAGCTACAGTCCCTCCTTGTCAGCAGCCCTCCCCGGTCTCTTGAGGAGACCCTTCCTTTACCTGGGTCCATACCCACCTGGGGAAGTGGAGGAGATGGTGTTTGGGAGACAGGCGCATCGAAATCCCCTCTCGAGAACACAGGCCACTGCATTCCTGTCTGCATTCAAGCTGCACCTGCCCGAGGAGGTCAAACGTTACCCAGAGGCGCCACCCGAAAACAAAGCGGGCAAAATAGCCAAAGGACTACAAGACGCTTTGTAGAAGACCAGGCCCAGGGCTAATTCCTCCCCTTTTCCAGTGTGTCAGATGCTGCTGGGCAGCTGGCGGTCACCGAGGTAGCAGCAAGGCCACTGGTGCAGGACCTCCTGAACCATGACGTGAGTGGAGCTTGGCAGGGCGGGCCTTCCGGGGCCAGACCTGGCTTCTGGGACCTTCCTGAGGGTGCCGAGCGCCAGTAACCACTTCTGTCCCTGGCTGCTTCAGGACTGCTACATCTTAGACCAGAGCGGAACCAAGATCTATGTGTGGAAAGGAAGAGGAGCCACAAAGATCGAGAAGCAGATGGCCATGTCGAAAGCCCTGGTAGGAGCCCCAGGCCCGGCACCACCCTGTCCCAAACGGCCCGTCCGCAGCGCTTCAGAGGTGTCCAGAGAGCCAGACGGGGCGCTCGAGCTCCTGGCATCACAGTTACACACTCGGCTTGAGTCAGACGACCTGGGAGTGAATCCGGGGTTAACATACATCTCCTGGGGTGGTTCTGAGGATTCGGGAACATTTGTAAGGCGCTTAGAACAACATCTGGCCCCTACACCTACTCAGTAAACACGGCTGCTGCTATGGGAGGGGATAGCACGGTCCACAGCCCTGTCCTCCGGGAACTTACAATGTCTTCCAGACCCGTGTAGACGAACCCAGGGGGATGCACTTACAAAGCAAAACGGGACACGAAATCAGTGGGGTATGTGCATGCTGCAGGAACACAGTAGAGAGGATCTTGCAAAAATACAAGAAAAGTAGTCAAAATCATGACAGGCCAACCAAGAGATGCGAAAATGGCCCCTCAGTCCTTAGCTTGAGGCAGGTAACTGGGTCCCTAGACGTCAGCGAGTTGGCATTTGACTCTGACTTTCAGAAGGGAGCAATCCTCCCCGCCCCGCACCCCCGGCTTCAAGGGGTGAGTCATCAGGCGGGCAGAGCACCAGCGCCCGCCCCCACTGACCTGCCTTGGGGGACGGGGGGGTCTGCAGAGCTTCATCCAGATGAAGGGCTACCCTGGCAGCACCAACGTGGAGACCATCAACGACGGTGCTGAGTCGGCCATGTTCAAGCAATTGTTCCAGAAGTGGTCCGTGAAGGACCAGGCCGTGGGCCTGGGGAAGACGTTTGGTGTTGGCAAGATCGGTGAGGCTGCTCCCCAGGCCGCCTTCCGCCTTCCCGCTGCTGGGGCTCTAGAAGGGCAGCCGCGGATGCTTTCCACTCACTTGGCTTCTCCCAACCCCTTCCCTGCAGCTAAAGTTTTCCAGGATAAATTTGACGTGACTGTGCTGCACACCAAGCCAGAGGTAGCTGCCCAGGAAAGAATGGTGGATGATGGCAATGGAAAGGTTGAGGTAATTCAGTGATTCACACCCCAGGCCCGCAGCCCCGGCTCTCCCAGCTGTTCCACTGGAGAGGAGGGAGCCGGGGACTCTGGTGTGCTCGGCTTTCCTTCCCCCGCTGGCGACCTCAGCAGTAGTCCCTTAGAGGTGTCCGCAGTGTGCAAAGCAGTCCCACCGTCCCTCGGGGAAGTGGAAGGCTGCTACCCTCGTGTGCTATCAATAGCTCACCCGGCAGATATATTCAAATCAGCTCAGAGCCCTGATGGGGATGCACCTGAGCAAGAATGATCCAGTTCTTCTCGGGATTCAAATCATGCAAATGGGATAAGCACCCCGCCGCTGGGCGAGAGCCAGAGAGGGAGGGTGTACTTGGGGTGGCTGTTGGTGCCTTACCCACCTGGATTCTCTGCTAAGCGTGGCCCAGTTCCCTTCAGGCAGCTGGAACCCCATCTCTGGGAAACTGTGTCTCCTTCTGTGTCCAGGTCTGGAGAATTGAGAACCTGGAGCTGGTCCCCGTGGAGCGTCAGTGGTACGGCTTCTTTTACGGGGGAGACTGCTACCTGGTTCTGTACACATATGAGATGAGCAGGAAGCCACATTATGTCTTGTACATCTGGCAGGTAGGCCTGAAGCAGGCTCTTAGCTTTGGATCTTGACGCCTCCTCCGGCCACCGAGTGGGGGCAAGGGGTAGCAGGACCATCCCTCCCCTGTAACCCCTGCAGGGCCGCCACGCCTCCAAGGATGAGCTAGCGGCCTCGGCCTACCAGGCAGTGGAGGTGGATCGGCAATTTGACGGGGCGCCCGTACAGGTCCGCGTTACCATGGGGAAGGAGCCACGCCACTTCATGGCCATCTTCAAAGGGAGGCTGGTGATCTTTGAGGTGAGAACCCTCACACAAAATGACATCATGAGTGGGATCACTCAGACGAATAAGGCAACAGGAGGCCCCCATCTAGTGGGGAGGGATGGAGACCAGGCCTTGGGGGAGATGCAGCTTAATCTAGACGTTCTAATGCATCCCAGCTGCCTCAGGGCAAGACCAAACCACTGCCCAATGAGCCTTCAAGGTCCTTTCCTAACCTGACCCATAGTACCTCTGCGGGTGTGTTACCCTCAGAGCCCTAACTTATTGCACTCTAGTGAGGTGGGTCTCCTCACTAGACCTTACGTGGGCCGCATCATGCGCCCCCACCCCCCGGACGTGCTGCTCCGAATCCAAGTCCCACTTCTCCCGTGACGCCCGGGCTGAAGCACTAGCAGGAATGTTTAATGTCGTATGCTTGACATCACACAAGCCTGCGGTCAAGTCCTAGCCTTGCCACCTGTTAACCGGGTTGCTTAGGCTGTTTTCCCATCTCTACTGCAGAATAATAAATACCTATTTCAGGAGCACCTGGGTGGCTCAGTTAAGTGTCCGGCTCCTGATTTCAGCCCAGGTCATGATCTCGGGGTTGTGAGATTGAGCCCCCCCCCACCCCCCCACCCCCCCCCGCCCCCCCCCCCCCCGCATGAGGCTCTGCACTCAGCAGGGAGTCTGCTTGTGATTCCCTTTCTCTCTGCCCCCTCCTCCTGTTCATGTGCTCATGTGCACACATCACATACTGTCTCTCTCAAATAAATAACTCTTTAAAAATAAATAAATAGGGCAGCCGGGGGGCTCAGTGGTTTAGTGCCGCCTTCAGCCCTGGACGTGATCCTGGAGACCAAGGATCAAGTCCCACGTTGGCTCCCTGCATGGAGCCTGCTCCTCCCTCTGCCTCTGTGAGTGTGTGTGTGTGTGTGTGTGTGTGTGTGCGATGAATAAACAAATAAAATATTTTTAAAAAATAAAAATAAAAATAAATAAATACCTATTTCACAGTTATTCTGAGGCTCAATAGGCAAGGCACCTGCCACAGAGTCTAGCATAAAATAAAAGTCTCAGAATGAGAGCTGATATTATTGGTGCCATAATTCCAGCTTACCTCACCTCTCCCGGTTGGCATGGAAGTTCCTCGAGGGCAGAAGCAGCGTTAAATTCCTCCATAATCTCTCCAATGGCTTAGCAGGAGCTCTGTTCACCTGGTGCTCCTTAGAACCAGATTCAGCTTTTCTCCTTATCGCTAGGGTGGGACTTCCAGAACGGGAAATGCTGAGCCCGATCCTCCAGTAAGACTCTTCCAGATTCAAGGAAATGAGAAATCTAACACCAAAGCGGTGGAGGTTCCGGCCTATGCCTCCTCCCTAAACTCCAATGATGTCTTTCTGCTGCGGACCCAGGGAGAGCACTACCTGTGGTACGGCAAGGTAAGACGACCGGGCCTGGCGGTCACACCAGCCCCTTGGAGCCCAGCCCTGTGCCCACCTGCCTGTCAGCAAGGGCAAAGCCACTAAAACGTAGGCTGGAGCAGTCCTCAAAAAGATGAGCCTTTTCCTAAAGGATCTTCAAAGGAACTGCTGGTGTTCCCCACAATTAGAAACCCACTGACACCATTGCCCACACCCAAGAGACTCCATAAATCACACAGATGGAGGCCAGATAAGTCGATCTTTCCAGCCTGGTGGATTGCATAGGACAGGCTTCAACCTCGAACACAAGCACTAAAAATATGATTTTGTCAATTCAGAGGCCTCTACGTTAAAAAGCCCTAAAACCGTTTTTACAAAAGAGAACTGAACAGGAAAAGTGCTCAGTACCACAGTCCTCAGGGCAATGCAGGTGAAAACCAGAGATGCCCCCACAAGCCTCGCAGAAGGGCTAAAAAAAATTGGCAGTATCAGTTGCATCCTACTGTGTGCAGAACAACAGGAACTCGTGCGCATTGCTGGTGGGGACGCAAATACAGACTTTGGGAAACGATTGGACGGTTTCCTTATAGAGCACACACCTGTGAGGCAGCAATCCCACGCCATGTGAGATAAAAAACTACCTTGACACAAATACAGACAGCACCTTTATTCATAATCACCAAAAATGGGAACCAATTCAACTGATGACTGAAAAAGCAGCGGTATATTCATACAGTAGGATGCTACTCAGTGCACAGAGAAGAAAAGCTGTTGATCCTCACGGCAAGGTTGAATCCCAGGGACTGTGCCGAGTGGAGGCAGTCAGTGGCAAAGGCTGTATGTGCGTGACTCCATTTATAACATGCTGGAAAAGGCAAAGCTGTAGTGACAGGGAACACGGTGGCGGTTGCCAGAGGTGAAGGATTTGGGGAGGGTCTGGCCACAGCGGGGTAGCCCCAGGGAATGTTCTGCAGGGCCCAGGCAATGCTCTGTGTCTTCATTTTGATGGTGGTAATGTGATTCTACGTGTTTGTCAAGACTCGTAGAACCCAAAAAGTGGATTTTCTTGAATGTAATTGAAAGAATACATTTACATTTTTTCTCTTAAAAAAAATCAAAAGTAGGTGCTACAGTTCCAACTGACGCTTGTGCTCTCCTCACCCTGCTCTCAGGGGTCCAGTGGGGATGAGCGGGCAATGGCTAAGGAGCTGGCCAGCTTTCTCTGCGAGGGCACCGAGGACACGGTGGCCGAGGGCCAGGAGCCAGCTGAGTTCTGGGACCTGCTGGGAGGGAAGACTGCCTACGCCAATGACAAAAGGTATGGGACACGAAGGCCCCTCGGGGCTCCCCCTGCCGCCCAGGCTTGTGAACTGTGCAAGTCTGAGATGCCTTTCAGTTTTATTTTATTTTTATTTATTTATTTATTTATTTATTTATTTATTTATTTATTTATTTATTTATTTTGCCTTTCGGTTTTAAAAACGTGGTTTCTTTTTTTTTAATAAAAAAATAAATAAAATAATAAAAAATAAAATATAAAATAAAATAAAATAATAAAATAAAATCGTGGTTTCTTCATGAACCACTGAACTCTACTCCTGAAACCAATATCAAACTGTATGTCAACTAACTAGAATTTAAACTTAACAAAAAAACATGATTTCTAAGTAGCTCAGTTCCTCTAAATAGACTGTATTGCAGACTACAGCAGGAAATCCTGGATGTGCAGCCTCGTCTCTTTGAATGTTCCAATAAGACTGGGCGCTTCCTCGTCACTGAGATCACAGACTTCACCCAGGATGACCTGAACCCAGGTGATGTGATGCTTCTGGATACCTGGGATCAGGTAAGACACAGCCAGAGAGCTTGAACAAGTGACAAAGAGACAAAGACACCCCCCGTCTGCCCCTGCCAAATGTAGCCCTGGACCATCCCCAAGTCAACCAAACACCCGTCCATGGTAACCAGAGGAAGACCCCACTTTTCACCAAGGATGGAGAGAACAGATGTCGTTTAAAAGTGACCACCTTGGGAAGTTCCCCACCTTACCTTGGGAAAAGCAGTCCATCATATCATCCCACACGTTTTTTTCTTAGGATCGACAGCAGCAGGCTCCACACTCAGATGCAGGCCTCCTAGGGAATACAGGGCTGTAAAGGGGATATCTTCAAGGCAGCCCCTCCCCAACAGCCTTTTTTCTTCAGCTCAGAAAACATACTCAGCACTTCCTCTGTGCCAGTTAGTGTGCTAGGTGCAGTGTCACCCAGGTGAGGGGCCCTTGATCGCAGAGTTTACAGGCTAAAGGAGGAGCTGGACATAGAAACACCATTTTACTATGATGGAGCTATGGGGCCATGGGGGCACAAATTAGGAGCACCCAACACCGTCTGGGGGTTCAGAGAAGACTTCCTGGAGGAGATGGCTCCCAGGCTGAATCTCAGGATCAGTGGGCATTAATCAGGTAGGGAGAGCATCCTGGGCAAAGGAAACAGCACCAGTAGGATCCCTGGGTGGCGCAGCGGTTTGGCGCCTGCCTTTGGCCCAGGGCGCGATCCTGGAGACCCAGGATCGAATCCCACATTGGGCTCCCGGTGCATGGAGCCTGCTTCTCCATCTGCCTGTGTCTCTGCCTCTCTCTCTCTCTCTCTCTCTCTCTCTCTCTCTCTGTCTCTCTGTGACTATCATAAATAAATAAAAATTAAAAAAAAAAAAAAGAAAAGAAACAGCCAGTAAAAAGCAAGGCATGGAATAGTCTAGTATACAGGGAACTACCGCAGAATCATGAGACCATGAGATAGAGTAAAGGAGTTAGAGACGAAGCTAAGAAGTAGGAAAGGGCCTTACCTACCTTGCCAAGTTTGAATTTTATCCTGGAAAGCTACTGGAATTGAAGCAGATGAGTGACATGGTCACTGTGCTTTCAATGGATTACTTGGCAAAGTGTAAGACAGGAGGGATGGGGGGAAAGGACAGAGAATGTGTGCTGGGAGGCCAGTCAGGGGAGCATCGTAACCGTCCAGTAAGAGTCAGCAGGGGCTGCACAGGGGAGGGGGGCGGTGGGGGAGGGATGCACAGGAGGCAGACGGCGGCCTTGCTCACTCGCTGGATACAGGCGCATATAGGGACTGCCGGGCACTGCCCTAGGTGACCGGGGGGATGCCATTCACCAAGAACGGAGACAGACACAGTCCAGAAAAGCAGAGCTACGCTGGGGAGATGTTCTATGTGAGGTTCCTAGAGGCAGCCATGAGGGGACGTCCTGCAAGAAGTTGGGTTCAGGAAGCTGAAGTTCAGCGAGCGCTCGGGACTAGAAATGTAGATTTAGGAGATACAGGTGTAATTAAAATCACAAATACCGGGGACCCCTGGGTGGCTCAGTGGTTGAGCGTCTGCCTTCAGCCCAGGTGTGATCCTGGACTCCAGGGATCGAGTCCCATGTCGGGCTCCCTGCAGGGAGCCTGCCTTTCCCTCTGCATCTCTGCCTCTCTCTCTCATGAATAAATAAAATCTTTAAAAAAAAAAAATCACAAATATCCAGCTCAGTCTGGGAAAGCTTTTCTGCTGAATGGATGAGGCTGGGTAAGTGCCATGAGGCTGTGATGCACTGAGGGCGAAGGAACAGGACTCGGTCCTAGATGCAAACCCATTCATCCTGCATCTCTCCTGCGACAGGTGTTCCTGTGGATTGGGGCTGAGGCCAACGCCACGGAGAAGGAGAGAGCCCTCGCTACGGCCCAGGAGTACCTGCACACTCACCCCAGTGGCCGGGACGCTGACACAGCCATCCTGATCATAAAACAGGGCTTTGAGCCTCCCATCTTCACGGGCTGGTTCTTGGCCTGGGACCCTCATATGTGGAGCGTAAGAACAAGTGCAGAGAACGGGGGAGACCTGCCTACGGCCCAGGGGCTCAGCACGAATAGCTCAGTGGGAAGGGGGTACTGACTCAGGGGCTGGGTGAATCCAGGACCACGTTTCCCTCGCCCCCTCTCCACTCCCGCTTTTGGCTTTCCATCTCTTTTCCACCCACCACGGCTCTTAAGTCCGGTTAGAGAATTCACGGCTCAGGTCAGGCACAAGCAGCGTGGGGAAGTGATAAACGGTCTACGGCTGATCCACACACCTCTCCTTTTTGAGCTTTACAGCCACCCCGACGGCTGGGGCAAACGTCGTTTCCCGTGTTAAAAATTAGGAAGCTCAGAGGAGAGAGGATTGGTCTAAAGTCACATTTGACCCGTAGGAAGGAGCCAGGGTTTTCTGACTCCTAGTCAACTGCTGTGTCTCCTTCGGTCTCGCATGGAGGATTGGGGAACACCAGCAAAGGGTTTTTACTAATCTGAGGGTGTTTCCTAATCCACACCGTGTGTCGGTCCCGTCCAGCCTGGCATGGGCCCAAAAGGGACTTTCATTCCTGCTTATCCCTGTGTCTTCCGATTCTCTGGCTTCTTTGCTGTCCTCAAGGGTAGGTTAGTCCTGAGATGTCCCTCCCCACCTACGCAGCACCTCGTCCTGTTTTCTCTTTGTTTCAGGCAGGGAAATCATACGAACAGTTAAAAGAAGAGCTGGGAGATGCTGCTGCAATCACAAGAATCACGGCCGTGAGTTGGGTTTGCTTGTGGAGAAGCAAGCCACAGGGGCAACCGTAAATGCTCCATCTTAGCATCACTCTAGTGGTCTACTTTGATTTAAGATCGTTTTAATCAATAGGAAAGCAGGTCTGAAAGCCAAGTTCCTCATTTTACAGCCTTCTAGAACCTAGAATGACTTTCTGGTTAAAAAAAAAAAAAACATTTTTAAATATAAATATTGGGAGTTTTGACCTATGAATCGCCCAGTAGTACGGACTGAGCCCCTAGCCCCTAATGTGATAGAATTAGGAGGCCGGGCTTTTAGGAAGTAAGTAGGTCATGAGTGTGGAGCCCTCAGGAATGGGATTAGTGCCCTCAAAGGAAGAGCTATGAGGGTTTGCTCTCTCGCCCTCTGCCGTGTGAGGACACAATGGGAAAAAGCCATCCACAGGCCAGGAAGCAGGCTCTCACCAGACCCAGGATTTGCAGACACCTTTATCTTGAACTACGAGAAATAAATGTTTGTTGTTTAAGGTAAAAAACAAACAAAAACTACAAAACCAAAAACTAATTTTATTATTCTATCATTCAGGACAGATTAAGTTGACTGGCAGCATTTTTCATAAATAATAAGCTTCTAACCCAAATGACATGCTTACCAGTTTCTGACAGTGAAGTCCATAAAAACTCAGGCCATCACCCCTAGTTTAAGGGTGAAAAGAAGTGGAACCTCCGGCCAGGAATCCAACAGCTCTTTAACATCAGGATGAGCGCATGGTAGCGGGTGTCCAAACCATCTACAGTCCTCCCCTCTGTGCTCTACATATTCAAAGTTCCAGAGCTAATGGCGATGTCGTATCTTTAAAACGCATTTAAAAACAGTGTGACTTCAATCTGAAGTCATTTAAAGGCTGGAAATGTAGAGAATAAATACAAGTGCCAAAAGAAAGTATGTGATCACAGCATTTAAATGAGATTTCAGCACAGTGTGAAGCCAAACTGGCTACATAGGAATCTACCCTGGACTCAGGAATCAGCTCTCCCAAGGAGGACCCCAAATCTGAATATTTTAGATTTCCAGATGATGCTGTCACGCAGCCAGCTTTAGGGACCACTGTTCTAAAAGATAACCACAAAGGGTGCCACGCTATAAGCCAAAATATTAAATATTATACACACGGAACTTCAACTGCACAGGCCCTGAACGGTCTTTTATCCTGTCTACATTCTTATCTTATATAGGACATGAGGAATGCAACCCTCTCCCTGAATTCTGAGCTGAAGTATTACCCTATAGAAGTTCTGCTGAAAAACCAGAATCAGGAGCTGCCTGAGGACGTGAACCCTGCCAAAAAGGAGGTGAGTGGCTAAAGGAACTGTCAGGAGAGTGGCGCGCTCCGTGAGCAAGGCACCTGTACGCGGCCTAGGACAGCCCTGGGACACCGTAGGCCCCTCAGCGCACCTCTGAGCTTCCCAGTAGCTCCAGACAAAAGCCCAGGACTCCTCCTCCCACATCTGTCCGTCAGCCTCTGTCCACTCCTCCCCGTCCCTCCGCTGCCCAGCAATCCTGGACTATTACAAGTGTCCCCCACTGCCCCCCCGCCCAGTAACCACCAATAGGCTTTTTATAACAGACAACGCTGTTGTGTAGAGAACACCTCAGATGGCTTCCCAAGGCAACAGAAGAATCCAGAATCCTTTCTGTGGCCGCCGTGGCTCTTCACAACCTGGCCCGCGCTCACCCGACTCCATCTCCTACCCCGCTGCCCTCTTCATTCTGCTGCCTCTAGCCAGGGGCTCCCTTTCGGTCTCAAAAGCGCTCATCCCAGCCTTTGACCTTTCACACTTGCTACTTCCCCCGAGAAACCTTTCTTCTCTCAGGTCATCACAGGGCCAGCGCCCCCTCGCTGTTGGGTCTCCCTGAGAACAGCCACCTCCCGGGAAGGCCCCGCCTGACCGCCCTCGAACACTGCTTAGGAGCAAGGACCTTCTCCGTCTTGCTCACCACCATTCTCTGCTTTCAGGACCTAAAACGAGTGCCTGGCAGATAGAGGCCCTCTTACGTTTTGGCTGAATGATTTAACACTTTAATGTTGAAGGAATTCACTTATTTTCCCCTTGAAGGAATTGATGTGGGAAGGGTCTCTGGGGTTTCCACCATGTCCTATCTAGCCAGCTCTTACGGATCTGGACTGCAACTTTCTTGACAACAGAGGCCATCTCTTAAGAATTTTACTCAGAATATTCAGTAAGCATCAATAAATAAATGTTAGGAGAATTTTATGCTCTGAACAAGATCCACTTGATTTTGCATTTGAAAATGTGTGGATTGGGGCGCCTGGGTGGTTCAGTGGCTTAAGTGCCTCTTGGTTTCTGCTCAGGTCATGATCTCAGGTTCCTGGGATCGAGCCCCATGTCGGGCTCCCCATAAGGGAGCCTGCTTGTCTTCCTCTCTCTCTGCCCCTGCCATTCTTGCACACTCTCTCTCATAAATTAAAACAAAACAAAAAAAAAGTCTGGATAAAAATGGTTGGTATGGGCATGAGGCAAGGAAAACCAGCACTCGATTTAGTTCTCCATTCAGCCAAAACCTAATGTCTAGAATTCATCACATATAACCCAGTTCTTGTTCTTCCGGCAAAAAAATTGGTGCTGGGTGGGACCCTGAGAACAGCAAACCCAGTTGGCTTCTGCTCAGGCCAAAATGAGAGTCCACAACCCAAGAACCCTCCAATGAATAATTTAAGTCCACTACAGACTTTCTGAAAAATTCATTCTTCTTCTCTCTTCAAAGACACTCTCTTGGCTCTCCCCTCCCCACCTCTGTTGCCATTGGTGGGTGCCATATTGTCCTCCTAACTAGAGACTTTGTCTTCTCTCTTAGAATTACCTCTCTGAACAGGATTTTATTTCTGTGTTTGGCATCACAAGAGGGCAATTTGCTGCTCTGCCTGGCTGGAAGCAGCTCCAAATGAAGAAAGAAAAGGGGCTTTTCTAAGGCAAGAAGCTCCATGCCTATCACGAGACCACAGAAGACAGCTGATCGTGCCAGTAACAGGAAAGAATTTATCTACCAATTTTGCCTAATAATTGCTACTTAGATACAAGGAGGTCTGCAAATCACAGCATGTTCTCCATCCTCATCCCTGCATTCCTTAGTTGTTATATACCTAATATGTTAACTACCTACTTTTCAATTTTTGTGGCCTTTGGGCTTAAAGTCTCAGCAGAAGCACTACAGTTGCATGAATCCAGAGCAGTCAGAGGAAAAAGAAAATAACTAAGTTTAAAGTATTTAATAATGGGACAAAGATGTGAGTTTGTTTTAAATTGTAAGATCATGAGCAGCCCGGGTGGCTCAGCGGTTTAGCACCACCTTCAGCCTAGGGCATGATCCTGGAGACCCCGGATCGAGTCCCACGTTGGGCTCCCTGCATGGAGCCTGCTTCTCCCTCTGCCTGTGTCTCTGCCTCTCTCTCTGTACCTCTCATGAATAAATAAATAAATAAATAGTAAGATCACTATATCCAGAATCTATTTGACCCACCAATCACTGAAGCTATTTCCATATATACCCCAGGGGCAAAATCAAAATGCCGAGAGCTGTACGTGCCAGAGATTTTTTTACTTTTCAAATAAAGATGTCTATATGAGCAAACGGGAGTTCTCTTCAGTATCTGGGGTTTGCCTGTTAATGGTATTTTGTTACGTTGGGAGAAACGTCTCTGTACTGGGGTAGTTAAGAGGCCCTGCTGAGTGAGTTCTCTGGATAACTGGGCCACCGGTGAGACCTGCTTCTGGCACAACAATGCCAAAATGTGCCTCACAGCTGTCCAGGAAACCTCAGGCCCCACCCACCTCCACCCCGTCATCCAAAAGAGAAACAAGGCCATGTGTTATTAATTTCAGTCATGAGGCCAGAACCAGCGTGTACACTGCAGAGAGCATCGAAGCATGCTACAGACATCAACAAATGAACCACATTTTCCAGACAACTCGAAGTTTGAGTCAACAATTCCCAAGGAATCCGTGTGGCCCAAGTAACGTAACCGGGGAAGTTCCAGGAGAGCAGCACAGCCCGAAGCACCCCAACGTGAAAGCAGAATAGGAGTGCTGGGTCACAGAGAAACTGAGGTAGAAATTTTAGGGGTACCATGATAAATCGGGAAGCAACAGCACAACTGCTCATGCCTGCTCTCTCAGACCCCGTCGGCCACCTCCATACGGCCTGCCTGATGTTTCCTACAACTGGTCACAAGGCGCAAAAGAGCTAAACCCGGCATTACACAAGCAAGGAAGAGATTCTACTCTCTTTATTATATAGCAATTTTATTTAATGACTCTTCCCACTGAGGATATCATTGCATTATAAACTCCAATGAAAAACAAATTCTGGGTTTGTAGAGGCTGAGGAAATAACTTCTCGGAATGATGTCCAGAGAAAGAATAAACATCTCCTGGGCCAAGTCTCCGAAACCTATTCGGTTTCTGCTGCCTCTTCACCTTCTCCACATTCAAACCGCACAAAGTCTACTACGGACACCCCTTGAGGCTGCACATACTGTCCCAACGTGATGGAGGGATCCAGCAAGTATGGCTGGGACAGCATCTTGGTTTCTGCCTCTCCCCCAGGCTCATCATCCAAAGAGCCAACAGAGAGAGGGGCCATGCCCACCACATGCTGCCCAAGGCGGCGGCCAAGGTCTTCCAGGCTTGCTTTGCGCTCAGATGTCTCGCAGACCACCAGGGCCCCATACTTCCCGAGCTCCAGGTTGTGGAGGGAGGGGCTGTGCATTGCTCCATGGACATAGGAGCCAACATAGAACCCAGCTGGCACCTTCACCCATGCAGCTCGTTTAAGAGTCATGTTTTCTCCCAGTTTCCCTATAAAAAAGCAAAAACAAGTAACACACTTCCAGAAATGACGCATGTCATAGTACCAAAATATGCATAGAGGTGGCTGAGTCTGGGAGACGGTGCTCTGCATTTACACTGTGGATACGCTGTAAGATGGAGAGATACCGTTTGCAGTTTAAAGAAGAAAAAGGTATGTGGGAGGAGAGGGTATGGGTAGGAGAAATAATGAACATCTTTATGGAACACCAACAACGTGCCACACTGGTATTTAAAAACACAGGCTGTGATGTCACACAGAGCCTGGACTCACGTGTCTGCTCTGCACCTTACTGGCAGTAAGTGACTTAATGACATAACCCCACTTATGAATTTATCAAGCTTTCTTTCCTCCTCCATAACATGGAGATGGTATCACTTAAAATAACCCGAAAGCAGGGTTTTTAGGAGACAAAGTAACATATGTAAGAGGACTCATTACATTATCTAGCACATGGTGGCACTCAAATGCTGGCAATTGTTACTATGTTAATCTTAGGCTTAGAGGGCAGCCCGGGTGGCTCAGCAGTTCAGCGCTGCCTTTGGCCCAGGGCGTGATCCTAGAGACCTGGGATCGAGTCCCGCATCGGGCTCCCTACATGGAGCCTGCTTCTCCCTCTGCCTGTGTCTCTGCCTCTGTCTCTCAAAGCTAAATTCTTCTCACGAATACTTTAAAAAAACAAAACAAATTCCAGTTTTCCCGATCTCAGGATGCCATCCTCTCTAACATAGGTCCAAATAAGCCAAAAGGTAGGAAAGGGGTTAGGGGACCCCAAAAGGGATCTGGGTAAATATCCCTGCATAGTTATATCTAAAAAATCCAGATATCCAGAAATCAAAAGAAATCTTAAAACGACTCAAAGCATCTAAACAATTGTTAATTCTCAGAAAATGACAAGGCTGCAATACCCAGCTCTTCCAGAATTTCTTAATAAGTCTCATTCACAGCTGTCTGCCTGGTTTCTCAGCTATGACTCACTCAAACATCATACATACTTCACAATAATCTGATAAAAACAGAATTGATGTCTTGACTGGAAACATCAGATGAGCAATAAATTCCCAGTAAGCTCCCACCCAGTCCTACTTCCCTCCTTCCATCAAGGACACGTAGGAAGAGAGCAAAATCCCCAGTAGTTGTGGCACAATGATCCGGAATGTGGTTCCTGTAGCCAGGGGTTCTGAATGAATAAACATTCACAAATTCAGGATGAGATTTTTCTAAAAAGAGATCAAATCCTACACATGAAGCTCCAAATATTCCTGGGTCCCTTTATAAAGAAGGTGGGATGACTTGTGCTGTACTATGTCTCCCACAGCGTACAGGGTGGTGTCAACTGGAAGGTCAAAGGCAATCCCTGCCTAAAGACATGCTTTGCTTGGTCAGCCTGCAGAGTGCTGAGAATGATTTTAATTAGCTACAAACATCTAAAAACTGAAGTTTTTACACATAAAGCTAAATTCTTTTAAAGGAATTTAAAAATCTGACAATGCTGGGACCCCAAAGTAACAACTGGCTAGAGCTTGGTAACCATTTCTTTCAGCAGAGGGTGAGCTTTTCAGGGTGCCCACTGCTCACTTGTGTCTAACGCACCACACAGCCCACTCCTCACGTTCATACTGTCCGATCCTTGCGGGTACATGAGCCTGCAATTCTTTGACCTAGGTGCGGAGGATTATCAAAGATCCCAGGAGGGCCGGTTCCTAACTCCCAGTTCCCCCCATCCTTACAAATACTCACCTATTGCTAAGGCTAGCTGATCCTTGAGGCAGCCTTCTTTGTCAGGCCCAGCCGGAAGTTCAGAGAGCTCAGAGGAATTCAAGAAGCCCTAAGTGCACAAAGGAACCAAACAAATCAGTTCTGTCCTACTTGAATTACCAAGAGAGTAGGCAAAAAGTATATTTCTCAAAAAAAGGTTTAAGACCATCAAGTATACATTTTTTGGGTTTAAGATTTTTCTTTCTTTTTTTTCTTTCTTTCCTTCTTTCTCGTTCTCTCTCTCTCCTTCCTTATTTGAGGGAGCGAGTGAGCAAGCACACGCATGTGCATGCCTGCAGAGGGCGGGGGCAAAGGGAGAGAAAGAGAATCTCAAGCAGGCTCTCCGCTGAGGTGCCCTTAAATGAATGTTTTCATTAAGACAAAGATGTTACATATTGATAACAGCTGCATTTTTATTTTATGAGTATTTTATCCTACCACTACACCGCCCACAATTCCATCTCAATCCCATCATCCTGCCTAACTTCTTGAACTGTAGTTTCCTAGAAATCAGGAACAGTATTTTCAAACAATCATAAAATGTTAGAACTGAAAGACTGGCTGAATAAACAGACCATGACACAGCCATATAATGGAAAACTACACTGTTGGGAAAAAGAAAACAAAGAAAGATGTGCTTGAGCTGCTACAGAGTATTGCCAGGTTACATTAAGTGAAAAAAGCAAATTAAAAGAGTACATCTATAGGGGTGCCTGCATCACACTGTGTACTCAGCGGGGAGTCTGCTGGAGATTCTCTCTCTCCTTCTGCCTTTGTACCTTCCCCCTGTGCACACACATACTCTCTAATAAGTCTTAAAAAAAAAAAAAAAAAGCCTGAGTGGCTCAGTCAGTTGAGTGTCAGCCTTCAGCTCAAGCCATGATCTCAGAGTCCTGGGATCTGGTCCCACATCAGGCTCCCTACTCAGCAGGGAGTCTGCTTCTCTCTCCCTCTGGCCCTCTCTGCTACTTTTGTTCTCTCATGTGTGCTCAACCTATCAAATAAAATATTTACAAAGAATTTTTTAATTAAAAAAAAAAGTATTTATATAAATATGCTGTTTTTGCAAAACGACCTAAAAGATACCCAAAACCAATGAAACTGGTTATCTACAGGAGTGGACAAGAATAAGGTAGAAAGGAGAAGGAGTGAGACATCTGTGCATGCGTGTTACAGCTTTAATTTTCAGAATTTTAATGTTTTATATATTCAAAAACAAAATTAGATTATCGAGAATTTGGAGGTAAAACCAAAATTAACTACACAGAAACATAAGACTCTAACTGTATTTCATATGAATAATGCAACTTCACGGAAGGGGGGAAAAACTAATCCAAGTAACTTTCAATATAGTCCTTTGACCATATAACTACAATGTAAAGACAAAAAGGACACCAAAGAAATCTTGAACTCCTTTATAGGCTTGTTATTTGCAGTGGTCAAGTATAGTCACTAAAACAATTCAGTGTTGTATTAGAACAGTGAGAAAATAAGTAACCACTAAAATTGCTAAGAGCCAGCATACTAGTGAGCAAAGAAGACATAAATATAGAATGGGGGAAGGAAAAGAACCCTGTGTGCAGGATTAGAACTGAAAAACACACACACACACACACACACACACACACACACACTTCCTGCATCTGTCTGCTGAAAGAGCAAGCAGCAATGACGTCTCAGTAGAAATAAGCATATTTAATGCAAGGATCTAGGTTTCTAAAAACTATTCCCCCCGTTAAAAAGGATCAGGACTCCTTGGAAAAGTGGCTAATTCCACAGGTAGGGCAAGGAAAGTATGACATAGGCCCAGAGTATCTCGTTATGCCAAAAAGTAAGAAAATACTTGAAAATAATAAATACATTCCAAAAAGTCAACAGAGCCAGCTTACACTGGCCAAATCCTGGTATAATTTGAGCATCAAATTTAACAATAGATTATAGGGGCGCCTGGGTGGCTTCTGCCTTTGGCTTCTGCCTTTGGCTCAGGTCGTGGTCCCGGGGTGCTGGGATCGGGCCCCATGTCAGGCTCCTTGCTCAGTGGGGAGCTTGCTTCTCCCCTCCCCCTACCACTCCCCTGCTTGTGCACTCTCTCTCTCTTTCTGTCAAATAAATCAATAAAATCTTTAAAAAAAATAGATTATATAATAAATTATAACACACTGTATAAAGTATCCATGAGTTAATGTGTACTAAGTAAAATACTAACATAGGGAGTAATCTTTCTTACAGTAGAATGTCAACTAATAAAACTAATACATGTAAAAGAAATTATAAGACTGAGAAAGATAACCATCATGCAACTCTCACAGTAATAGCAGATCCTGAGAAGAGTCATGGATGGATGCTAATACCTTCAGGTAAAAGTCTTTTGGGGAACTGGACATTACACAGTCTCAATCTCCCATACAGATTACTTGTTCGTTACAAAGAGGAACAGAATAACTTTACAGTGGAGAAACCTGGAAGATTCTGCCCTAACCAAGAAGAGATCAAAATTAACATCATCAGGTGCATGGGGGTGACTCAGTCAGTTGAGGATCCAACTGTTGATTTCCACTCAGGTCATGATCTCGGGGTTGGGGGAATCGAGGCCCAGGTCGGGCTCCACGCTAAGTGCAGAGTCTGCTTGAGATTCTCTCCTCCTCCCTCTGTCCCTCTCCAACTCACTCGGGGACATGCTCAATCTCACTCTCCCGCTCTCTAAAATAAATAAAATTTTGGGGATACCTGGGTGGCTCAGTGATTGATTGGGCATCTGCCTTTGGCTCCAGGCATGATCCCAGTGTCCCAGGATAGAGTCTGGCATCGGGCTCCCAAGAGGGAGTCTGCTTCTCCCTCTGCCTATGTCTCTGCCTCTCTCTCTGTGTCTCTCATTAATAAATAAAATCTTTAAAAATAAATAAATATATAAAATCTTTAAAAATTAACATCACCAACAATGGGACCAACAGTCATTATATGCCTCCTGATGTGATATTCTGAAAAAAATACAGGATAATTTATTTAATATTCATGCTAAAAAACCCACACTCTGAGTCTAACTATGAAGGAGTATCAGACAAACCCAAGTTAAAAGACTTTCTACAATACCGTCCTATACTCTTCAAAAAAATGTCAATGCAAGGTGCTTGGTTGGCTCAGTCAAGGAGAGCATGCAACTCTTGATCTCAGGACTGTAAATTCAAGCCCCACTGTGGGTGTGGAGATTATTTAAAAATAGAAGAATCTTTTTTTTTTTTTTTAAGGTCATTGTGGGGATCCCTGGGTGGCTCAGCAGTTTAGCGCTTGCCTTCAGCCCAGGGTGTGGTCCCGGAGACCCAGGATCAAGTCCCACACTGGGCTCCCTGCATGGAGCCTGCTTCTCCCTCTGCCTGTGTCTCTGCCTCTCTCTCTCTCTCTCCCTCTCTGTGTCTCTCATGAATAAATAAATAAAATCTTTAAAAAAAAAAAAGGTCAATGTAATGAAAGACAAAGAAAGGTTGAGGAACACAGAAAGGAGACTAAAGAGACATGATAAGTAGTTGCAACACACAATACTGGACTGGATTCTGGATCAGAAGTGCTAGCTGACAAAATATGGCATATATACTATATAAAATATTGTATCAGTGTCAAAATTCTTGAATGTGATTAGTGTACTGTAGTTACACAAGAGAATGTTGTTTTTAAGAGATAAATATTCAAGGGAAAAAGGGTCCTGATGTCTGCAACATACTTACAAAAAATTTTTTTAAATAGTGATAAGACGCCCGGCTGACTTAGTTGGTTGAGCATGCAACTCTTGATCCTGGGGTTGAGTTCTAGCCCCACACTGGATGTAGAGATTACTTAAGAATAAAGTAAAATAAAATAAAACAGTAATGATAATATAGGTATGTAAAAAAGTGATAAAGCAAATGAGTCAAAATGCTAACAAACTATGAATCTAAATAAAAGTACAATGTAACTTATCGCCAAACACTGGGAACCTTTTCTGTAAGTTCGAATTTTTTTCAAAATAAAAGTTAAACAAAATTAAAGATCAAAAGGGAAAAAAATAAATAAAGCTAAAGAAAACCAAAATTTCTTGAACTGATAATGAAACACAGAGTAAAGTAAGTGAATGGCTCTGGGTGACAAATAGAGTTCCTTGCAAAGGCAGGATCAGAACCTCGAGGTGTGCCTGGCAGGCTCAGTAGTAGAGCATGTGACTCTTGTTCTTGGGGTCGTGAGTTTGAGCCCCACTTTGAGGGTAGAGTTTACCAAAGAAGGAAGGGAGGGAGGGAGGGAGGGAGGGAGGAAGAATAGAACTTCTAGTTCAAATGGCTCATCTATTCAACACAATTCTAAAAAACAATCTTCACATGGTTTTCCATATAATGACTATTTAATGCCAGTAATAATTTTTTTTAAGATTCTTTTACTTATTTATTCATGAGAGACACACAGAGAGAGGCAGAGACACAGGCTGAGGGAGAAGCAGCCTCCCTGCAGGAAGCCAAAGTGGGACTCAATCCCAGGACCCAGGCTCACAAACTGAGCCTACTCAACCACTGAGTTACCCAGGCGTCCCTAATGTCAGTAATAATTAACATATTCCACAAACTCTCAAGAGAAGGATAAACCGGAGGAAAGAGGTGGTACTAAACACAAAATAACTGTTGACAGTAAGGGTGAATCAAAGGTACACTGATATAATTCCATCCTGCTCCTCCTATGGACAAAAACACGCTTATTCTCCTAAATTCTACCTTCTCCAATAGATGTATTTAGAATTTCTTTCCTTAAAAAAGAAAAAGAAAAAAGAAATAACTCCTTCCCTCAGGCCATTCTAGATTTCTGAATACAAAGCTTCACCTGATTGGGTGCCTGGGTGGCTCAGTTGGTTTAAGTTTCTGACACTTATTTCGGCTCAGGTCATGTTGTGGGATCAAGCCCCACACTGAGCCCCCTATGTGCAGCCCAGCATAGGGCTCTGCATTCAGTGGGGAGTCGGCTTGGGAGTCTCCCTCCCCTCCCTTCGAGGAGCCTGATGTGGGATTCAATCCCAGGACCCCGGGATCACATCCTAAGCCAAAGGTAGATGTTCAACCACTGGAGCCGCCAAGGTGCCCCACGAGTAAGTCTTTAAAAAAGAATAAAGCTTCACCTTATTTGACAGGCTCTACCGCACTGTCCTTCATTCTTTCACTCATCAGATTTAATGAGCCCCAACCAAATGCTAGGCCCACTCCTCTTCCACCAGAGACACAGTAGTGAAAAGACAAAATCTCTGCCTCATGAAGCTCACATTCTTTTGGGGAGATTAAACAACATACGAATAAGTAAAAACATAAAATATAGAATTATAACAGAAATCTTTAAATGAAACAAAATAAGGGAATAGTGCAACAGGAAGGCTACCCGTCTCCAAAGAGATAATATTTATGCAGGAACATGAAGTAAGGGAGTGAGATATGAGAATGTGTGAAAAAAAGGAAATAGCAAAGACCCTGTGAAAGGAGTGTGTGTGTAAATCCAGCACGTTGAGAGATAATCCCAAAACTCACTTTACTGTATGTGGAGAGTTGATCCTTTAGGTTCTGACAATGCAACAAGGTTCCCAGGGCGACTTGCTGGACCAACTGTTGAAATTTTATATTTCTGGAAACAAAATCTGTCTCACAGTTTACCTGGCGGGAACAAATTGATGTTGCTGTATAAGCTGCTTCTGGACAGTTTGTAAAAGTGCCTTAAAATCAGAGTAAACCGAGGTATTACAGAAGAAGCTTCAGACTCAACAAAACAGACATAAATGACCCTCGAATTTTAAGGCTGCAGTTCCTCTCCTAGCTTGAGGCCAGAAACTCAATGAGGTGATTCCTGCTGTGCCAATGAGTTAGCAACTGACCCCCATATTCAAAAGATGGTTCCCTAATGTCCCCAAAGGAGCCATTACACCTTTACCACTTGCCCGTAGCTGTGGGCCATCACTACCTCGTTCTCCAGACTCCTCCAACACCAAACCACTTTTGCAGTCAGCCTGCTTATCTCCTTTTCTCACTCTATACTAACCCACATCTGATTCTTCACCAATTGAGGCCCCTACACCTCCTCTAAAACAACTACACACTATCCATCGACCAATTAATATAATTCCTAGCTTTAAAATCTAACTGTTCCAGGAAACAATCAGTGACGAGGAATAAGGCGACAGGAGACTCCCACTGAGAAGTACAGGTTTGCCTCACTATCTGAACGTACGGCGTTCCTATGAAACCTTTTGTAAGCCAAAATGGCATAAAGTGAAAAATCAATTACCATTAATTTATATGGAAATGGATGTACAAAACAAATTGATGTACGAAATAAATCAACGGAAAGCACAGATGCTCACAAAGTTCAAAGCTATGGCGGCTTGATGCTGAGATGCAGAGAGTAGTTGGGGGCGGGGGGCAACTCCTGCTGCAAGGGTGCCCCCTGCTTCTACAGTGAATCAGTGCAAAACCAACACTAACTGCTATTTTCACTTTTTGCCTTTTTTTTTTTCATAAAAGTGAAAAGTACTCTTTGGATTTAACAAAAAACAAAAACAGGAGTATGATTGTAGGTCTTTTGTAAAAGCAAAGTGCGTCACGTGAACTTTTGAAACGTGGGGGTATCTGTAACATTTCTGACTTTCTAGGCCTTTAATGGCCAACACACCCAGCCACTCCTATACTTAAGTGAACTCACAATAACCGTGGTCTCACCAGTTTTCTCCCAACAACCGTGTGCACTTCGCAAACACCTCTTCTTTAAGGCTACGAAGGGTCTAGCACACAGCTCTCCACCCAAAGGGCAGCTGATTTATCTGGAATCCTGACAGCTCACCTCTACCAACACGGTTGCGTTTCCATCCTGAAGCAGCCCAATCAGGCCTTCTTTAGTCTTCCTGCCGTGGAGTTTGGCAGCTCTGCTCCAGCCTTCCTTCTGGGCCTGCTTGTGCAGCCAGCTCTCTGCCTATAAATTGAAAACAGGGCAGATGACAAAGTCACAGAATTTAGAACTGAACGGGGTTCTAAAATATGTTCAGGTTCGCTAATTCTGTTTCTCGTCAATCCTATAACGGAAACTAAAGCAGTCTATCGTTTACTGGCAGCCTACCACTGAACGCCAAATACCAGGCATTGTGCCTGATGCTTCGGATAAATTTAATCTTCACAACAACCCTATGGAGCAGACAGCAGTATTTTTTTTTTATTATTATGTACAGACAAGAACAACGCGACCCTGAAAGATCAAGGTGTCCAAGATCACAGGGTTAGTGTGAGTCCTGGTGCGTGGGGCTCCCAAGGCTCACACAAGGCCTTGGGCTCCAAGCACCAGCAAACAGCAGAGCAGTGGTGCTTGGAAGAGTGTTACCCACGGGATCCTGGTCAACTGCTTCGGAGTCAAAGGGTGAGGTCGGCACTTACGTGGGCATCCTACCCCGAGGGGCGCCTGGGTGGCCGAGCCTTGGGCTCAGGCCGGGATCCTGGGGTCTGTCAGGCATTGGGGCCCGGGGGAGCCTGTCTCTCTCTCTCTGGGTCTCTCATGAATGAATAAATAAGAATCTTTAAAAATAGGGGCAGCCCAGGTGGCTCGGCAGTTTAGCCCCGGCTTCCGCCCAGGGCGTGACCCTGGAGACCCGGGAGTCCCACGTCGGGCTCCCTGCGTGGAGCCTGCGTCTCTCCTGAATAGATAAAATCTTAAAAAAAAAAAAAAAAGGGGGGGGGATCCCTGGGTGGCGCAGCGGTTTGGCGCCTGCCTTTGGCCCAGGGCGCGATCCTGGAGACCCGGGATCGAGTCCCACGTCAGGCTCCCGGTGCATGGAGCCTGCTTCTCTTTCTTTCTCTCTCTGTGACTATCATAAAAAAATTAAAAAAAAAAAAAAAAAAAAAAAAGAATGCTACCCAGGGTTCTGGGTTAGGGTCCCTGGGCAGCGCGTCCCCGCCCCCGAGGTCGCCGCGGCCCCCCGCCCCCCCACCTGCTTGAGATCCCCGCCGCAAGCCTCCAGAGCCTTCTTGCAGTTTACAAAGGAGTAGCCTGTTCTTCGCCGCAGCTTCACGAGGGCGTCCTTGCTCGAGGCCGACGACCACAGCCCTGGACCCGCGTGGAAGGGGCGCGGCCGAGGCGGCGGCGGCGGGGGCCCGGCCTGCGGGGGAGGAGGAAACGCCTGAGCCGCCGGCGCCGCGGGGAGCGGGATGGGGGGAAGCCCACGGGGGGGGGGGACGGAGAGGGGGGACGGGGAGGGGGATGGGACGGGAACGGGGGATTGGGGATGGGGGGAGGCCGGGCGCCGCGGGAAGCCCGGGCGGGGGAGCGCGCAGGGAGGCCGCCCTAGGAGACCCGGGGCTCCGGGGCGGGGGAGGCGGGGACGGGGGCTGCGTCCCGAGCGCACCGGGAAGTCCCAGGACGAAGGCGCGGGGCCGGAGCCCAGGCCCCTCAACGAGCAGCCCCGCGCGGCCGCGAAGAGGCGCCAGGGCCGCAGGAGCGACATGTCCGCGGCCCGCGCGGGAGGACACCGGCTACGGCGCGGCGGCGGGGCCAGAGCTCGGGCGCCAGCGCCGGGCGCGGACGGCGCCACCTGCCGGCCGGGCGGGCACACGCGCCGCGCCCCCGCCCGCCCACCGCCGCCGCCGCCCCCGCCCGCCCGCGGGTGAATAACGGAGGCCACGGGGCACGGGGGTCGCGAAATAACGCTCCGAGGCACGTGGACACACTTCACGTCCCTTTATTTCCAGTCCTGTTTCACAGTCGTCATCCATTCGGGACTCTCGGCGGACCCGGCCGGTGGGCGGGTGGGTTCAGGAATGTGGCCGAAGGCCGCGGGGCAGGCAGCGGGGGGAGCCCTTTCACCAGACCCTGGGACTAGTCGCTGCCCAAGCAAAGTAAGGGGGTGGCACGTCGACCCGCTGTAGGCCCGCGGCTGCGCCAGGCCTCCGGGCACTAGGAAGGCGTGAGCCACGCCCCTGCCCTTCCCGGTAGTCTAGGGGGGAGAAGCAGGGGACAGACCGGTACCTTGCGAGCCGTGTAGGTCCCTAAGATGACCAGTGAAAGGGTCTCCAGGGAGAGAGAGATCACTTCCAAACAGGAGGCTCCGTAAAAGCTTTCTTCAGGAAAGCGGCTAAGAGTAGTGAAGATTTTGAGAGGTAGAAAGAGCTCTTCCAGGGAGGGGATCATCAAAAAGAATGAAGAAAACAGGGCAATTCGGGTGTGGAAATAGGGAACAAAGAGTAGACATTTGGAATTTGTCCAGAGGTTACAATACATGTAGGAAACCAGTTGAAAATGAAATAGAAGGGTCATTTGGGATCACATGGGATAGAGTGAGTACCAAGCCAAGGAGCTTTACTCTTGCGGTAGGCAGAAGCTGGTCAGAGCTGATTTTGGAGGATCAAATGAGTTTGATAAATGGCTTAAAGGAGAGAGAATGGAGGCCAGGAGTCCAGAGGAAGAGATATGTGGCCCAAGGAGCAAAGAGAGCCCCAAGCCCCACAGTGGGAAGAGAAAAGAGGTAAAGACAAAACACACTAGTAAGGAAGGACCAACAGGGCTTGGAAACCTAAAGAAAACTCAAAGATGAGAAGAACCTAGTACTTGGGGATCATGGCTCCAGCTCCAAAAAAGGATAAAGAAGCTGTAGCCCAAAGGACAGCTCTGCTGCCTGTCCCAGCTTCCGGGCAGGGAGGACTTGGCCCAGTTAGAGCCATGGTCACACCAGATTCTGCCTCCAGAAGCAAGAAGTGGGTGGCCTGAGGTTTCTTCCTTTCTAGCCCCCCAGCAAAAGCCTGAGTTCTTTGGATGCAGAGATGACCTTCCTTCCCTTTAAAAAAAAAAAAAACTCTATTGAGAATCTAGCAGGCAAAAAAAGAGTCCATTCTATATAGAAAAACAACAGCAGGACTGGAAGGGTTCAGGGCCATTCTCTCTGCAGCCACTGTTCTCACCTCCCATTTTCCACCCCTACCCCTAAAAATCCTGGACACCTTTCCTATCTTCGTCCTCTGAGTACAGGAATTGGGATCTTCCTTTGTGCTCTATCCTAGTGCTCTAAGATTCCCAACAAGCAGGCACTTTCCTGCACCCACCCAAGAGTATCTGGGGGAACAGAGAGGGAAGGAGGAAAGGGAAAGGCAAGGGAAACCCATACTCTTCTTCCTCGTGTTTGTGGCTTTGGAGATACAGCAGTTCCTTTCCTAGGAGAAGGGGTTCAGAGGAGCAGAAGGGTGATGTCAAGCAGGTCTTGGTTCCCTGTGCCTGGCCCTATAGATGTTGACATTCTCATCCTCATCCCGCTGGGCCAGCTCCAGTTGGAAATGTTGGGGCAGGAGGTGCTGAAAGAAGCTCTCTGTCCCGTGCTCCTCTCTCATCTTGGAGGCCAGATAGATGGTGCCATGGGGCCCGCACAGATGTTGGAGAGTGCCCAGCAGCAGTGGGAAGGTGGGCTCCAGGTACACGATATCAGCCCCCAGCACCAGGTCATAGTCTCCAGGGAAGACATGCTGGTCAATCCCCCAGGACAAGGCGCGGACCTGGGCCCGGCCTCCAGCCGGCACATTGGCCTGTACGTTGCCCTGGATCTGCTCTAGGGCCAGGGGCAGGTCAGTGATGGTAACATCCCCCCCTGAGAGAGAGGAAGGAGGAGAAATGCAAGTCAGAGGGACCAACCAAGGGGTCTCGGCTCCTACCCAGAAGGTCCAGAGACCTCAGGGCCTAGAGGACAGTGTTTTTACAGCACAAAGTGCGCACCGTGGCTTTTAGTTACCCTAACCACCATCTCACCCACTGTTGTTCTCATTATTCTAAGTTCAACAGCATCAACATTCTCTCTGGGCTAATCTGCAACCTCTCTGCCCAACACACAACCATCAGGTATCAGCAGAAGCCTGGGCAGGACCAAGCTGGAGATGAGCTGTACACCCGGCCCCTACCAACCCAAACCAAACTTTGTGGGTCTGGAAAGCTTCCCAGAAGACATGGCCTCAGCAAGCCTTAAAGGACAAGTAGGAGTTAGTTAGGTGGAGCTTTCCAAGCAGAGAACAGAAAGTACAAAGGCCCGGGGGGGAGAGCATGGCATATTCGAGGAAGACTGACTCTTAGAGGATGTGGAAAGGAGGAGAAAAATGTCAAGACCTGAGAATAGGGATCCCTGGGTGGCGCAGCGGTTTGGCGCCTGCCTTTGGCCCAGGGCGCGATCCTGGAGACCCCGGATCAAATCCCACGTCGGGCTCCCGGTGCATGGAGCCTGCTTCTCCCTCTGCCTATGTCTCTGCCTCCCTCCCTCTCTCTCTCTCTCTCTCTGTGTGTGTGACTATCATAAATAAATAAAATATTTTAAAAAAAAATACCTGAGAATAATAATGACATGCTGAAGAGACTCAGGCTTGATCCTGAGGGTGGTAGGTTTTAACAGATGGAAGCAGATAATCAGATTAGCACCTCAGAATGCTTCATTCATGCAAGAAATATATGTACTGAGCACCTACTAAGTTCTGGCAGTACAGTAGTGAGCAAGACAAAACCTCAGCCTTCCATGAGTTTTATTAGAGAAGTAGAGGCACACTAGGCACTGCAAAACTCATCATAATCAGGACGACCACTACAGAAACAGGAGGTAAAGAAAAAGAAAAAAGAAACAGAAGGTACCAAGAATTCATTCATATTTATTATCTGCCTATATGTCAAGTGCTGAGAATATAGCAGTGAACCAATCAGACAATGCCTCCACTCACAAGGATTATGGTCTAGTGATAAAAAAAAAAGGGGGAGAGGGGAGGGGCAACAAATAAAAGAAAATACACTGTACATCCAATGCTATGGTGAAGCATTAAGCAGAGAAGGGGGATAAGAATTGCTTCGGGGGGGGGGGGGATCCCTGGGTGGCGCAGCGGCTTAGCGCCTGCCTTTGGCCCAGGGTGCGATCCTGGAGACCCGGGATAGAGTCCCGCGTCGGGCTCCCGGTGAATGGAGCCTGCTCCTCCCTCTGCCTGTGTCTCTGCCTCTCTCTCTCTGTGTCTATCATGAATAAATAAATCTTAAAAAATAAAAATAAAAATAAAAAAGAATTGCTTCAGGGACGGGGCAGGGAATGTAATTTTACATTGAGTGGTTAGGAAAAGCCTCACTAAACAGATTGTGTTTGGGCAAAGACCTGAAGGAAATGATGCAGCAAACCATGTGGACCACTCAGGCTAAATGTACCAAATAAGGGACCAACAAGTGCAAAGACCTTGAGGCAGAAGTGTGTCAGCAGGTCTGAAAAAGGTTAGGAAGGCCAGTGGCTGGAGCAGTCTGCTTGAGATGCTCTCTCCCTCCCCCTCCTCTCTAAATAAGTAAAAATCTTTAAAATAAACAAAGGAGAGGCACCTGGGTGGCTCAGTGGTTGTGTGTCTGCCTTTGGCTCAGGTCGTGGTCCCAAGTCCTGGGATCAAGTCCCACATCAGGCTCCCCGCAGGGAGCCTGCTTCTCTCTCTGCCCATGTCTTTGCCTTTCTCTCTGTGTCTCTCATGAATAACTAGAATCTTAAACAAATCAGTAAAAGGATCATTCTGGCTGCTGTGACGAGAAAGGACTGCATGGTGGCGAGGTCAGATGCAAAGAGCCCAGGTAGGAGGCAGCTACAGTGACCCAGGGGAGAGGTGATGTTCAATTGAACCAGGGCAGTAGCCACATCTAAGAAATGTCAAAATCCAAAATGATTTTGAAGGTACAGTTAACAGGATTTGCTGACAGACGGGACATGAAGTACTAGAGAGGGAGATGTTGAGAATGTCTCCCAAGAGGTTTGGCCCAACTAGAAGACTGAATTGTTATGTACTCCGGAGGAGGAAGGCTGTAGGAGGTACAGGACTGGACAAGAAGATCATGAGTTCCTTTCTAAGTGTGACATGCCCATCAGACAACCACATGAAGATATTGGATAGGTAGGTGGTTCCGCCAACAAATCTGTGGAGATGGCAATGGGAGAGTTATGGGGTCATGAGCATAGAAAGGGGATTTAAAGCCATAAGGTGATGGGATTGCTTGGGAGTGAGCGTAGGCAGAAAAGGGAAGGGGTCAAAGGACCACTCTGGGGCCCTGGGGCACTCAAACTTCCGGTTGTCAAAATGAAATGAAACGAACCAAGAGAGGAGATTGGAAAGAATGCCAGTGAGGTAGGCAGAAAGCAAAAGTGTGGTATCCTGGAAATGAAGCATTTCAAGGAGGAGGGAGAGTCAAATGCTGCAAAGTCAAGTCGAGTGGGTTCATAACTGACTCCTGTACTTACCAAGATGGAGCTGGAAATGCAGCTCACCACTTTGCTGCAACTGAGGATGGAAATGGGGAATAGATTGAGGGAAGAAGAGTAAGGCAGGTACTACCAGACGATGAGGATTACTCTTTTGAGTTTTGTTGTAAAGCAGAACAGAGAAATCAGTGGTAACTAAAAGAATATGTAGGACCAGGACACCTGGGTGGCTCAGCGGTTGAGCATCTACCTTCGGTTCAAGTCATGATCCCGGGGTCTGGGATCAAGTTCCGCATTGGGCTCCCTTCCTGGGAACTTGCTTCTCCTTCTGCCTATATCTCTGCCTCTCTGTGTCTCTCATAAATAAATAAAAATCCTTTAAAAAAAAATATGTAGGGCCAAAAGTTTTTTCTAAGAGAAAATATAGTGTATTTATAGATGTATATAGATGTGTGTGTGCCTATATAGAATGTTCCAGAGAAAAGGAAAAGATGATAGTGCAGGGGGGAGGGGGGATGGGGAGGGGGTCTGCTGGAACAATGTCTTTGAGTAGATGAGGTTTGGGGTCTTGTAACAAGTGGAGGGCTTGACCTTAGGGGGGATCACACGGTGTTTATCCATGGTAACAGGAGACAAAGCCCTTGAAACAGACAGTGAGGTGAGTAAACATTCCAATAGGAATGTGTGAGCATTTTCTATAAGAAAATAGAAGCAATCAGAAGAGATGGGGAACAAAGTCATCAGCTGAGGATGAAGACAGGAGAGGAGGCATTTAGAGGTTTGAAGGACAAGAAGGTAAGAAACATGTTTAGGAGAGTGGAGGAATATGTGGACAAGGAAGGTGTAACAGACTAGCTGGGAAGCACTTAAGGACCCACCTAAGGTTCGTCACAAATTCAAAATGAAACCAGTCAGCACGGTGGTTTATATACTAGGAGGGCCTAAGCTAGCCTGGAGGTGACCTTCCCCTGGAAGTGATGTTTGAGCTGAGCGCTGAAGGATGCGTATGAATTAACAAGGTGGCCCAAGGATTCCAGACATACAGTCTGTGGGGAGACTCCATGGATGGAAACATCCAGACTTGAGGCACTGACAGAGAGCACGAGGAGGACAGGAAGGGAGGCAGAGGCACAGAAAGAGGCCAGAGAGGGAGGCAGGACCTTGGAGGCCACGCTAAAGGTATTGGCTTGATCTGGAAAGCACAAGTGGATGATGGGAAGGAAAGGTGATTACAATTGCACTTTGAAAAGATCACTCTGCTGTACAGGAGTGGGCAGAGGTCAATGTGGGGGCAAGAAGTCAAAGCAAGAAGACAACTTTGCCTGGATGTAGTCGGAGAGTGACAGCGGTGGTATGGACTGGGGAGCCATCAGTGTCAATGGAAAAAAAAAAGTGAGATTTAAGAGGTTTTTAGGAGAAAACATCATCAGTAGGACTTGACTAATGGATATGGGAGTGTGAAAAAGGGACACATCAAAGGTGATATCTAGGTTTCCCACTGCGTAGATAGTAGTGTGATTAACTGAGATGGGAAAGCCTGACGGAGAAATAGCCGAGGTGCAGGAAGATCACAAGATCTAAATTCGATGTGCTAACCTTCCTATGGGAAAGCTAGAAGACACTTGTGAAAACTCAGGGAAGAGCGAGCAGTGAGGGGATCCCTGGGTGGTGCAGGGGTTTGGCGCCTGCCTTTGGCCCAGGGAGTCCTGGAGTCCCGGAATGGAGTCCTGCGTCGGGCTCCCGGCATGGAGCCTGCTTCTCCCTCTGCCTGTAACTCTGCCTCTCTCTCTCTCTAACAGGAATGAATAAATAAATCTTTAAAAAAAAAAAAAAAGAAAAGAAAAGAAAGAGCAGTGCCCTGAACCAGAGATGGTAGGAAGAGGAGCAGACAAGTGGGGAAATGTTAAAGACGTATGACCCACAAGTCTGACTGCCAGGATGTGACTGGGAGAGGGCAAGGGGCAAGATGACACCCAGATTTCTTACTTGGCAGCTGAAGAGGGAGCAAAGGAGGTCTTTGAGCAAATGCAGGTAGGTGTTCCCAACCACATTACACGCTTTTCTCCCGTTTTAGCATAACTGCACACCTCTCCTCCACTCATCCTTTGTGGAAAATTGCTTTTTAACACTTCCTTGGTTCTTTATGAGCCTGCTGTGTTTGTTCACCTTCTCATCTGACAGAGCTGCTTCTTGAATTCCCAGGGAGTCAGGGGAGACACAGCCAGAGGACGTCCACTGGCTCTGTGTATACATCACCATAATTCCAGTACTGTAACATCTTCCCCCACCTTCCCCGGCTAGACCATAAGCTCCTCAGGAACAGGAAATGTGTCTTAGTCACTGTTGTATCCCAATACCCGGCATGATAGAAGACTCCAAATAGATATTGATTGAATGAATAGAAAAATGAATGCCTGCCTCTGGGAAGACTTCCCTGAATGTGACCTAGCTGTGTTCTCAGGAACAAAGACATTTGCATTACTAAGGAGATGACATCATAAGGGTTTCAAATGAGTGTTTTGGGTGTGAGGTTTTGCCTGCCCATTAGATTATAAATTGAGAAAGAGTTTCCTTTGTAATTCTGGATTCTCCACCAAAGAAGCAAAATTGTCCTTACTTTTTCCTTTCCCAAGTCTTCGGTGCTTAATTTCTAGCCCCATTAGCCCGACAAAGCACACCCCAGACCTCAAGAACTCCAGCTTATTTCTCCCAAGCATTCAAAAGCATTCGATAAAAACCGAAAATTTCTTTCATGATAAAGTCATAAAGCGCTCCTCAGATTTCGTACATGCAGATTGCTCCCCCTACAGAACGCCCCCAAAGATGCGTTTTTACAAAGTACCATGCTGAAAACAAAGGCGGTTTTAAGGGACAGCATTGTCCATGAAACCACAAAGAGCAAAAAGGTAGGGAAAAAAAAAGCGCAAAAAGATAGAAAAAGCTCCTTTTCCTAAGGCCTGCCGCCAAATCGGACCCCCCGGGTGTTTTCTCGGGCACGGAGGAGGAAGCGCTCGCGCAGGCGCACGCGCACGCACTCGCAGGCACACGTTCGTTCAAGCCACTGGTCCGGTCCCGAACCACTCCCCGCTCCCAAGAAGCGCGGGAGCGACACGTGGCCACCGCCCGGGCCGCCCACGCACCCTGCAGCGCCGCCAGGATCCCCACGATGCCCGTCCCTGCTCCCAGCTCGATCACTTTCTTGCCACGGAAGTCCACATTTTGACTTTCAAAATAGTTGCAGAGGCTCAGAGCCTACGGGGGGACAAAAGGGAGAGAGAGACACCGTGGCGGGGCCGCCTCCCTACAGCGCAGCGAGAGCCCGGGGCCGCTCCGCCCGGCCCCCGCCCCCGCCCGCCCCGCCCGGGACCCCCCGCCCCCGCCCCGCCCGCCCCGCCCGGGACCCCCCCGCCCCCGCCCGGGACCCCCCCCCGCTCCCCCCGCGCCTCACCGCGTCCCACACGCGCGCCGCCACCCCCAGGCGGGCCCCGAAGTTCTGTGTGATGCTCAGCACGTGCCCACAGAAACAGAACCGGCTCTTCTCCGAGTAAGAGTCCGCGAAGAGCCCGACTTCCTGCGGGAACACGGCCTCGGGCTCGGACTCCCGCTCCGGACCAGGGGCCGCCATCCGGCCGAGCGCGCCCCGGCCCCGCCGCCAGCGCCCGCACCCCCGGCCTGCGGCTCCGGGCCCCGCCTCCGGCTTCCTGGAGGTGGGATGAGGAGCCGCCCCTCCCGCTCCCGGCCCCGCTCGGACCGCGCGGGGCGGGCCCGGGGGACGGGGGAGACGAGTGAGGGGCTGGCTATAGGAAGCGGGCCCCGGGGGCCCCTCACCTGCGGGGTGCACAGGTGCCTGCGACTAGGACAGCAGCGCAGACCACGCGGAAGCGCGCTGACGGAAGCGGCCCGGTGCGGGGTCGGGCCTTGGCAGCCCAGCCGGGGACCCGCGCCGCCGAGGCGCCCTCCCGCCCCGCCCCCGCCCCGGCCCCGCCCCGGCCCCGCCCCGCAGGCCGAACGCACTCCTGGGTCTTTAAGAGGCGGGGTCCGCCCCCAACGTGCCGGGGTGCGTCATCATCGTGCGCCTCGGGCCTCGGTCTCCACGTGGGTTCGGAGGAGAACCCGGGACTGGGGATCATGGCGGGAGCGGAGACGGGGGGCGCGGCGGGGGACGGGGCAGGAGCCGAGGTCCCGCAGCCCCAGAAGCGCTACTATCGGCAACGTGCGCACTCCAACCCCATGGCTGACCACACGCTGCGCTAGTGAGTGAGCGGGGCGGGGCGGGGCGGGGCCTGGGAGGGCGGTTGTGCCGGGCCGGCGGGCAGGGTCTCCGTCGGACCGGGGCGGGCCGGCTGGGTGACGTCAGCCTTGGCGGAGGGCGCCGTTGGAGGGGAGGGAGGGGGCGTGGCGTTCCGCCCGGGGTCGGGAAGAGACGGGAACGGAGAATGGAGCGACGCCGGCGGCACCTCGTGGCCGCCCTTCGGCCTCGGTGATCGGATTTACTAAAGAGACAAACATACACAAATCCTGCCCGCACCTCAGTCCGTCGTCTCCCCACAGAGCACATAAGCAGGGCGAGGCCCCCGCCTGTGGGGGAGGGGAGCTCGTTACCCCAGAAGGAGGGCTGCCCCATGCGCTCCTAGACTTGGAGATGGGCAGGTCAGCGTCATGAGCCGCATGATGGCCTGTGATTCACACGGGCGTTAAGGGTGCTTTCCACTGTGTGTCCTGGAGACCACAGGACCCACTGTTACAGGATTTTTGAGAAACATTCTTCCCATTTATACCTCCCACCCTTAAACATCCGCCCCCACACATGTAGAACCGCTTATGCAATGTCCTGACCAACCTTCTCGTGTCCCTCGTGTCCCTCGTGTCTTCTCTCCAATAGCCCCGTGAAGCCTGAGGAGATGGACTGGTCTGAGCTATACCCAGAGTTCTTCGCTCCACTGACTCAAAACAAGACCCACGATGACCCAAAGGATAAGAAAGAAAAGCGAGCCCAGGCTCAAGTGGAGTTTGCAGACATAGGCTGTGGCTATGGTGGCCTGTTAGGTAACACTCTGGCCTTTTCTCAGGGGCAGGGACAGGCAGTGTCTAGCTCCTGCTACCTCAGCAGGTTTGGTGGGGGCCGGGTTGGCCTTTCCCCTTCGACCAGACACCAGCGCTGTGACATCAATGCGGAGAGCCTCTGCCTTCCCTGTACTCTGGGTCTGTGGCCTTTGTCCTGCAGAAGGGAGGGTGTTGTCTCGAATGCCTCTTAGAACGTGGGTTGTCCTGTCTGGCCCCACCCCTGGCCTCAGCCCCTACTTGAGCCATTTCACCTGCGAGGTCCCGGGTCAGTGAGCTGGTCAGCACTAGCGTCAGAGATTAGTCACTGTAGCCAGTGATCCTGAACTGTCCTTCTGAGGGATTCCACCACCTTCCTTCCCCTCCCCCCTCCTTCACCAGAACCCATTGTTTCTGCGGTCTACTCTCGTGTTTTCAAGTTCCTCTTGTATTGTCTGTGTGGTCCCAGCATGTGTCAGGCCACGTCTCTATTTTTAATTTTTATTATTATTTATTTATTTATGATAGAGAGAGAGAGAGGCAGAGGGAGAAGCAGGCTCCATGCACCAGGAGCCCGACGTGGGATTCGATCCCAGGTCTCCAGGATCGCGCCCTGGGCCAAAGGCAGGCACTAAACCGCTGCGCCACCCAGGGATCCCCATGTCTCTATTTTTAGATCTTCCCATAGAGGTAACAGCATGACAGAGAGAGAAAAGCATGGTACCCGGGGGCAGAAAACCTTGGTTCAAGTTCCAGTTCTGCCTCTCAGCCCTGTGACCTTGGGCATTTCCGACCTCGTATCCTCATCTTCTCAACTTAGCGCAGAGCATTAGGAGGACTGAGGCAATGTGTGGAAACACTGAAAACGTCAAAGCACTTGCCACGTACATGTGTTCCCAGGCCCTCCCACTTCCAGTCCAGGTGACAGTCTTGGGATCTCAGCCGGACCCTAACCTTAACCCTCTCCTCCAGCAGAGGACCACCATAGAGGGATCTCTGTCCACACTTGCCCTTCCTGATTTTGGTCGTTGCCAACTGACGCTTCCTTTCCTCTGTCAGCGCCTTTCCACTTCCTGCAAATGTGAGGTTGACGATTCCATTCCCATTTCTGTGTCCAGTGGAACTGTCACCGTTGTTCCCAGATACACTGATTCTGGGCCTGGAGATCCGGGTGAAGGTCTCAGACTACGTACAAGACCGGATTCGGGCCCTTCGAGCTGCTCCTGGAGGTGGCTTCCAGAATATTGCTTGTCTCCGTAGCAATGCCATGAAACACCTTCCCAACTTCTTCCGCAAGGGCCAGGTGGGGAGGGGCCCTGGGGCGGGCTGGAGGGTGGGTGGGGCGTTGAAGCCGGGCTCTCAGCCCCGTCGATGCCTCGATGCATGTCTGTGTGTCTGTCTACAGCTGACGAAGATGTTCTTCCTCTTCCCTGACCCACATTTCAAGCGGACGAAGCACAAGTGGCGAATCATCAGTCCCACGCTGCTGGCAGAATATGCCTACGTGCTTGGAGTCGGGGTGAGCCGGGGCGGGAGGGAGGGCAGGGTGAGCGCGTGCACAGAGGCTTCGGGGGTGCCTTGGGGACCCCTGCTCCGCTGCGTGCAGCGCGCTGTCTAGGGTGCGTTTGCCTACGCAGGGGCTGGTGTATACCATAACTGACGTGCTGGAGCTGCATGACTGGATGTGCACCCATTTCGAAAGGCACCCCCTGTTTGAGCGTGTGCCCCTGGAGGAGCTGGTAAGTAGGGGGCCTGAGGGAAGTGGCGAGGACGCAGGCCTTTCCCAGCACGGTTCTGTATTCTTTGAACCCAGCTCAGTGCCAGAAGGATCAGATGGGGGTCTCAGGGCCAGGGGCCATCTGAAAAGTGGGCAAGGACTTACTGGACCCTTCCTTTCCTCAGAGTGAAGACCCCATTGTGGAACATCTGGGCACGTCAACTGAGGAAGGAAAGAAAGTCTTACGCAACGGAGGCAAGAATTTCCCAGCCATCTTTCGAAGAATACAGGATCCCACCCTCCAGGCAATGACCCCTGGTCCCACCCCTCTTGGCCACTGCTGGCCTGCCTTGCCTTAGCGTGACCCCTGGACCTTCCCAGCTGAGCCTGCCAGGGCCAAGAGGCGACAGTCTTTCAAAGAAGTTGGGGAACTGCCCAGGGCAGAAGCCTGGGAATCACAACTACCCCAACCTCTCACCTTCTTGCCCCTCTACCACCAACAGAAAGCAGAAGAAGCTACGTAGGAAGGTCAGCAGACCTTGGACCAAAAGGGATGTTTGGAAGGGTGTGGGGTCTTGCTCTCCCTTAGCACCCCCTTCTCCTTCTGGGATCTCTCCTCCTCAGCTGGAATAAGGAACGCAGGTCTCCACTGTCCATCTAAACTGCTTGCTAGACTCAAACCGCCTGTCCATTGTGTTTACTTTGCAGTCCTGGGGATAACATGTATACGTGTGCACATGCCCGTGCTGCTGTTTCTCAGGAAAGGCTAGAGCATGTATCACGTGCCTTTTCCCATCCCCCACACCCTCTCCCTGCCTGAGACTTGACTTGGGGAATCTGCTGTCTTTATGGTTGCTGTCTCTGGAGAGCCTTGGGTCGGGGTGGTAGAGACCCTCTCATTTTTCGTGTTGACCTTCGATTCCAGAACTTCAGAGCTAACTGACTGGCACTGAGTCCAGTGGGGGCAGGGTGGGAGAGTGAGGAGCAGAGAACTAACATGTGCAGGATTCGGAGGCTAGAAGCGAAAATGGGCTGCTGACTAGAAATACCCCCCCCCCCCCAAAGAAGACTGAGTCAGCTGGAGATTCAGAGCACTCACCTAGCCTGTGCTCCACCCAGGAGCCCAGAGAAATCTCTAAACTTTTCTAATTTGCATAAGGGTCCTTTGTTTCTGCTCCTCGAGCCCTAAGTTCCCTGTGGCTGGAAGGACAGAGCTTGTTGATCTAAAAGACCACCCCCTCCTCCCAAGGAACAAAGATGAAGGCTTCTGGAGCCATTTTGGCCCATTAACACCCACCGTCTGCTCACTGTTAGGTATAGGAGGGGATGGGGGGGGAGTTGGGGTAGTGCCAGGAAGTTCTTGCCTACAAAGAAAGTGCAGCCCCATAAGCCAAAAATATGGAGATGCTACAGCTGTGGCTCTTCCCTGCCCGATGCGACTGAAGGATGGGGAATTCCTGAGGATGGTCCCAAGAGGGCCTGGCTCCCTAGGGAAGTGGGAATATCAGGGACTGACTGTACCTTAGTAATCCTGAACTTCACCAAAGAGCCTTTACCAGGAAGAGATCTTTAGGCTGCTGGACGAGGGCATCACTGCAGAAGGGGAAACTAAGGCAGACCTCCCTTTACAAGAGGGTCATTGCAACATGAGACCCAGGAGAGCTGCCAGGCAACCCAGCCCCGCCTACTGTGCCTGGGTGCTGATCCCCAGCTCGACCACTCAGGAGAGGGGATTGGCTGAGGAACATAAAGAGGGGGCGTCACCAGTACCTCGCCCAAAGGTTAAATAGGGGTTCAGGCAAGCAAGCAAGATGTTCTGGAGAAGTGCTCTCCTCTGTGGCTTCCCCAAACCAAGCCATGACCCAGGCCCTCAAGCTCGCCTCCAGAGTGTTCCATCGCATCCACTGGGCTCCCAAGCTGGGCTCCTCACTGGGCTCCAGAGGCTCCGACTCAGCACCCCGCAGCTTGGCGGACATCCCAGGCCCCTCCACACCCGTCTTCCTTGCTGAACTTTTCTGCAAGGGCGGTCTGTCGCGGCTACACGAGCTGCAGGTAGTGGGGGAATGTTTCTGGGAATGAATGCTGGGGAAACCGGCTTTGACAACACCAGAAAGCACGGGCTAGTGCAGAGTGGAGGAGGAGGGCCAGCGAGAACAGACGCTGCCCAGGTATTAGGGAAGTTGGGGCTGCTACCCCCCACACCCAGCAGAAGCAGAAGAGTGAGCTCAAAAGGGCCGAAGTCGGCACGGGAGGCAGGACGCAGGGTGCCTTCCCTGCGGGCCGGCTTAAAGCCACAGGCTCTCCTCTTCGATCCCTGGGGGGTGGTTCTGAGCTATTCCACGCCAGGAGCCTTCAGGGATTTCTTCGCCTCGGCTCAGCCCAGGTGACCTAGGAGAGGTCCTGAGTGTCTGCCTTGTGCCAAGTTCCTCCGTTTTGCCCGTCACTGTCGAGCTTCTGGGGATAGGAAGGGGGAGAAAGAAGAGGAGGAGAGGGTTGCAGGTTAGGGTCACGTACTAGCTGGGAGCCCAGCCGGCTCGGTTGGCGCTGGCCGCCGAGGCTGGAAGTCCCCGCGCGGTCTCCAGCGCCCGCTGTGCCCGCTCTCCTAGGTGCAGGGCGTTGCGCGCTTCGGGCCTGTGTGGTTGGCCAGCTTCGGGAAGGTGCGCACCGTGTACGTGGCGGCCCCTGCCCTCGTCGAACAGCTCTTGCGACAGGAGGGGCCCCGGCCCGAGCGCTGCAGCTTCTCGCCCTGGGCAGAGCACCGACGCCACCGCCAGCGGGCTTGCGGGCTGCTCACCGCGTGAGTCCTCGCTGGCCCCGCAGCCCAACCGCCCCGCGCCCTCGCCTGGGGCTGGTCTGGAGACGTCGGGTTGGGGTGCGGAGGGAGGTCCTTCCCCGCCCGTCCGGCGAACTGGGCTTCCCACCCGCCTGGGAAGAGCCCCGCCTTTGTCCCCGGCCCATCTCCCCCTCGCGGGGGTCCAGAATGCTGGAGGTCCGCGGAGGGGAAGGCGCCAGGACCTAGATGGGATGTGAGAGTCCGTGACAGCGGTTACCCAGGAACCAGCTCCCGGGCCAGGAGAGGAGCAACGAGGAAGGGGGATGGGAGCAGGCACAGGCGGGAGCGGGGTTCGGTGCCGCAGGGGGCCGCCCCAGCCTCCCCGCGCCCACACACCGCGTCCGCACCCGCAGGGAAGGCGAGGAATGGCAGAGGCTCCGCAGCCTCCTGGCCCCGCTGCTCCTCCGGCCTCGAGCCGCCGCCCGCTACGCCGCGCCCCTGGCCGACGTGGTCCGCGACCTTGTGCGGCGCCTGCGGCAGCAGCGGGGCCGCGGCGCCGGGCCGCCCGCCCTGGTTCGGGACGTGGCCGCAGAGTTCTACAGGTTTGGACTAGAAGGTAGGTCCCGGGACCGGGCCGGCGTCGGAGGCGCCCGCGGGGTCTCGCCGCGCCCTGACAGCGCCCCCTCCCGCCCAGGCACAGCCGCCGTGCTCCTGGGTTCCCGCCTGGGCTGCCTGGAGGCCCAAGTGCCCCCCGACACCGACGCCTTCATCCGCGCCGTGGGGTCCGTGTTTGTGTCCACGCTGCTGACCATGGCGATGCCCGGCTGGCTTCACCGCCTGGTGCCCGGGCCCTGGGGCCGCCTCTGCCGAGACTGGGACCAGATGTTTGCATTTGGTAAGGCACGGAGTAGAAGCGGGACGGGGGACTGAAGCGGCTCGGGACGGCCAGGCACCCCTGTCCCCTCTACCCCCCAGCCCAGCAACACGTGGAGAGGCGGGAGGCCGAGGTAGCCTTGAGGAGCGAGGGGAAGGCCGCGGAGGATGTGGGATCTGGGGCACACCTGACCTACTTCCTGCTCCGGGAAGAGCTGCCTGCCCCGTCCATCCTGGGCAACGTGACGGAGCTGCTACTGGCTGGCGTGGACACGGTGAGGTTCCTCTCCACGGTGGGAGCCCCACTTCCAGGGCGTAGCCTCCCCGGCCCCAGAGGCCCCCTAGCTGCCGCGGGGGGTGCGCCGTGGCCCTCCGGCCGGCTTGCTAAACACTGGGAGCCCAGCCGGCTACCTCCCATCCTGCTTCTTGCACTAGGTCTGCATCTGCACCCTCAGCACCCCTGAGGCTCTCAACTGCCCTCGCAGGTATCCAACACGCTCTCCTGGGCGCTGTATGAACTCGCTCGGCACCCGGACGTGCAGACTGCGCTCCACTCTGAGATCACAGCTGCCCTGGGCCCTGGCTCCAGTGCCCACCCCTCAGCTGCGGCTCTATCCCAGCTGCCTCTGCTGAAGGCAGTGGTCAAGGAGGTGCTGAGGTGAGGGGACAGGAGAGGGGGAGCTAAAGAGAATGTTGGGAAGGGCTGGGGAAGCAGCGAATGAATGGGAGCTAGGAGAGAGAGCACAGGAAATTGATGATCTGCTCCTGGCCAAGAATGGCTTTGGACATAGGGGGCTTGGGGACAAGACAGAGGCTATAGCTCCCAGCCTCACCTTGCTGTTTTTGCAATCCAGACTATACCCTGTGGTACCTGGAAATTCCCGTGTCCCAGACAAAGACATTCGTGTGGGTGACTATATTATCCCCAAAAATGTGAGTAGAGCGAATGGGCCCTTTGGTTAAGCCATCCCTCACTATCTTGGGCCCCATCCTCTCCTACACTCCATATAAGCCCTTCCCCCTCCCTCTGGCCTGAATGCCTCTCTCGGAGGTAATGGGGCAGTGGAGAAATCATTCCAAAAGTAGCCCCAGAGGGCAGCCCCGGTGGCTCAGCAGTTTAGTGCTGCCTTCAGCCCAGGGTGTGATCCTGGAGACCCCAGATCGAGTCCCACGTTGGGGTCCCAACATGGAGCCTGCTTCTCCCTCTGCCTGTGTCTCTGCCTCTCTCTCTCTCTCTCTCTCTGTGCCTCTCATGAATAAATAAATAAAGTCTTTAAAATAAAGAAAAAGTAGCCCCAGAAAACTTTCCCATCACCAGCCAGAGCCTGCCTTTGCTCCAATCCATATATCCTCTTTTCCATGCCCCGCCCCCATCTGTGGGTCCAAACTGACATGTTTATGTTCCTTCCCTCCCAGACACTGGTCACACTGTGTCATTATGCCACTTCAAGGGATCCTGCCCAGTTCCCAGAGCCAAATTCTTTTCGTCCAGCTCGATGGCTGGGGGAAGGTCCAGCCCCCCACCCATTTGCCTCTCTTCCCTTTGGCTTTGGCAAGCGCAGCTGCATGGGGAGACGCCTGGCAGAGCTTGAGCTGCAAATGGCTTTGGCTCAGGTGAGTGATCTAGACATACCTTCCGCAGACATGAGAGATCCTAACCCTCTAACAAGTGAGTTCTTCTGACAAGTATAGCAAAATTTATGACTTGATAAACCTAATCCTCTGAAATATAGCAATCCAGTTTTAAGTCTTGAGGGTGAGCAAGGGTATTTGGACTTTCTTCCCCCTGCCATGATCCCTTAAGAAATTCTCTAGTGGGGGATCCCTGGGTGGTGCAGCGGTTTGGCGCCTGCCTTTGGCCCAGGGCCCGATCCTGGAGACCCGGGATCGAATCCCACATCAGGCTCCTGGTGCATGGAGCCTGCTTCTCCCTCTGCCTGTGTCTCTGCCTCTCTCTTTCTCTCTCTCTGTGACTATCATAAATAAATAAAAATTTAAAAAAAATTAAAAAAAAAGAAATTCTCTAGTGACTACAGGTACCATTTCAATATCAACCAACCTAAAGCTAATTATACCCTTTACCAATCAAACCTACCATCCCAGACCCCTCCCATAGTGATAGCCTTCTTCCTCCCTTTCCAGATCCTGACTCACTTTGAGGTGCAGCCTGAGCCAGGTGCTGCCCCGATCAGGCCGATGACCCGGACTGTCTTGGTACCCGAGAGGAGCATCAACCTACAGTTTGTGGACAGATAGACCCGTAGGAAGAAGCTACCATAGTCACCCTTCCCCTCATTGGAGGGATTTATTAGGCACAAGACCAAGAGATACGTATTCCCCCAAGACCTATTTGACCAGACAGACTGCTTAGAAGGACCATAGCAAACTGGTCGAGGCAGCCCTGACCAATGTGTGAAGCATGCATTGTCCTGACCCATCAAGCCCTGGGAAAACCATGGTCCCTCGGCCTGCTCAGCCTTTCTCCTGGCCATATCACATGCATCCGGCAAGGGACAACTCAGATTTTAATAATATTGGGTGGCCTGAGAAAGAATTCAACCACTGCCCTTTTGGGGCTTCCCTTTTGGGGTTGTTGGGTAAGCACTTATCACCACCTGAGCTAAGTAAGTGTGCATCTGGTCTGTACCGGGTTGATTTCTCTCCTTGCATGTGAGCTCTTTGAGAGGAAGAAGGAGACCTTATTCAGTCTTTATAACCCCTGCCAAGGCCTACCCCCGACTGGGTGATGCCATACAGGTTCTCCAATTGAATCTGGACCATGTGGCAGAAGGAATACGCGGCTTGCCAGGCCCTATCTACTCTCCTCCTTCATCATCTTGCCCCTAGCAAAGTGAGGCTGCCCTCACCTGGTTTATGATGTTGTGAACATCATGTTCATGACGTTATGATGTTTTGAAACTCCTTGACTCTTTGGTCACTATTCGAGGTTGGCTTGTCCCACCACTTAGTGCCCAGGCAGAGACATCTTTGGGCTTATGTGTACTTATGCCTTCCTTTTATATATGGAATTTTTTAATATTCATAGTTTTGAAATAAAAGAATCAAATGTTCCATCCTTGACTTTTGACTGACTTCTCTTCCACTTCTACTTCCTACAAATTCTGGAGGAATCCTCACCCCAATCCCCTACTTTGAGTGATGTCTGTAACAATGGGAGGTCTAGACACCTGGGAGAGTGGTTTGCATCACAAACCCAACACGTTTCTATCTGTACTGGGAACAGCCAGAGTCTGGCTCCCTGTAAGAGATTAAGGGGGTGGTGGTGAAAAGTAACTCCAAGGGCTAGGCTGTAAAAACAGGTTGGGGAGCTAGGGATTTGCAGAGATGGCCAGAGGCAACTGACTTTGGTGGAAGTGCTTTGGGAACCTGGATTGCCAGGACCAAAGGATATCTGCCCTCTCTGGAAAAGTTGCTCCAAGGTAATTTCCTTCCGAGAAAGACAGGGATACATGCACAGAAGTGAAGTCAGACAGACAGGATGAAAGCGGAGTGTGGGGGTGGCCAGAAGCCCTGGGGCACTGAGGCAGGAGAAGGGAGGGCAGAGGGAGCCTCTGTTTCCCTTGAGTCAGCATTCTCTGGCCCCCCAAGGGGCTGGCCACAGTTCTCCCCTTGTGATGTATATAGATTAACTCATCTTCCATACAAATAAATCTCTCGACACACTCCCTGCAACCCCTCTCCAGCCCAGATTACCCTCCCCATGTCAGGACTTGCCCCCTGCCTCCTGCTCCTCTCCATGCCAATTAGCTGGATGAAGATGGAGACTTCACACTGCCTCCTCCTCCCCCACCATCCTGGCCCCCTACCCTAGACGTGGCTCCCTGACCACAGACACTATTTGCCACCAGGCCTTCTGAGAGTATCTATTTTTGTAAGAGCTACAGAGGGGCACAGTATACCCAAGGTCTTGTGCAGACACGAAGGTCTGCCTTTACTGCTCCACCCCTCCACTCCTCTACTGGATTCTGGGTCCACCCCCACTCCCCTATCACTAAGCTTAACTTGAACCTAAGTGACCTGATTTTTGACAGATCTGAGCTTTGAGGGAGAATAAAGCCCAGCTTCCTCTCACACCCTTTCCCCTGGAATCAGTGATGAGAATTCTGTACACCCACATTCCTCACTGAGCAAGTAGGACTGCTCACTTGAGGAGGGCAGCAGTTCCGTGACCTCTTTCCCAAACAAGAATCTCTTTAAGTTGAAAAAAGGGAATGAGAGGGGACCATACTGATCACTGGTCCCAACCCCCATACGAAGCGAGACCTCCAGTGGTACTGAAAGGGAGGGAAACATTACGGTCTCACTTGGCTCTCGCTTGGCCTAGTTTTAGGACCCAAAGTGGAACTGGAGAGGGTGTATTTGTGTATGTATGTTCTTCGGTATGTCTAAGCTTCCATGGAGGGCCACCATGAGGGACAGTCCAGGGTTGGCACAAGAAACCCCAACCGTGTCAGACCTACCTGTCCTATTTGCCAGGACAGATACTGGTGGTCACTATGATTTGCTGTCTGTCTCCCTTCTGGCCCCTACCCGCTATTTTGTGAATAGCGAAACAGGAAAGTCTAGCCCTTCAGTCTTCCCAAGTGGAGAATGTGGAGGGTTGTCTCTCTGGGGAAACAATCTCCCACTGGAAAAAAAAAATTGGGGGCGCTTGGCCTCTACCCCCTCTCTTTTATCTCCTCAGAGGTTAGAGGGGATACACTTCAATACTTCCAGGTGATTCAAACCCGAGTCTTGCTTCAATGCGAACATTTCCAGGCGAGTCTGGGTGCCAGCACCATGGACAGCAGCCAAGACCCCCTTTTAGAGAAGGAGGGGGAGGACCATTTCTAGGACAAGGATGTGTGACCTTTAGCAGAGAAGCATTTCCCCCAAAACGTCCCCAGAGAGAGGAGGCAGAGCAGAACCTTCCTGAGAAAATGACCGATAATAGGAAAGGCATCTGGATCTGACTTAACAATGTATGAAGTAATTATTTTAATTGCTGATGAATAGTTCACTTAAAAGACACCATCATTCATATAATACACAGCCCCGAGGACTCAGGAGAAAGGGAGCAGGCCTCAGGCTGACCCACATTTTAACCAGTCCTTCCCAAACCCTTGCTCTATGAACAGCCCTCTACACTGCTGCCTCCAAGCACAATACCTTCCAGTTAATACCACTAAACTGGGGCACAGGATCAGACCTGTGGCCCTCAACTGCCATAGGAGCAGCTTAAGCTGGGGTTGGAGATTCAAAACATTGGGACATTCTGTCTGTCTCACTCCAAATGAGTCCAAATTCATTTCACACCACTTCCCTGGGGGAGCACATTACCTGGGAAGGACGACTAGACCCACAAGAACCCCAGAGCACGAAGGATTGTTCCATCCTCCCCCCCAACCCCCAGTGTTGGGGGTGGGGGTTGGAGGAGCTCTCATTTTTGCAAATAACCACCATCCTCATATTCCATATCCCCTCATATTTCCATATCTATAATGACACTCAACACAAATTTTCCAAGGCTCTGTGCAACTCCAGATGAAAAAACACATTCTGGAATTTGTTAACCAGCTACTATTTGAAATAAATGGACCATCAACTAGTCTAGAAATCTTTTTACGCTCTCACTAATTTTCTTTGCAATGGCATTCAACCTGTCCCTCATTTATCCTCATTCCAACCCTCTGAGGTAGACAGGAAAACCACTGGCGGCGGAGAGATCTTTTTCTTTCTAAATCACACAACTTGCAGGTGACAGGTCCACCCCTTAGATACCTCTGAGCACTGCCACCTAGCAGCCAATGTGAATTATTCGCCAGCAAGTGGGAGTTACACCTCCAACTCAGAACCCACTGCTGCATTTGGGATTTGCAATCTCTGCAGAGAAACCTCCCCACACCTCCCAACCCTCCAGAAAAGCCCCAGATGAGAAAGGAGTCTCCACGTGCATATAAATGATTCTTTATGCCCTCCCCCCATGCAATGGGGGGTGGAGCAGGGGGAGGTGCCCCCCCCCCCCCCGCCCTCATGCAGGGAACGGGAGGTCAATGTATACTAGTCTTATTGCCAGCTGCCCTGTGGCCATGGGGTGGGGAATGGAGGGTCTACAACCCCTTTCTTCTGGCATTGGTCCCCCTTCACCAAGTCACCATGGTGGAGCTGGGGGGCTGGAGGCCCTAGGAGCTGAGGTAAGGACGGTTCTCTAGGGAAGAAAAGATGTTCTCCCCACCTGCCCACTGACTGCCCCAGGATGATTGTGAGGAGCTATCGGCGGGGGCTGAAATGTCATCCAGGTGTCTCTACCCAATGGGTAGTAGAGGCCAGACAATGTCTCCAGCTTGAGGCTGCCCACAGAGATCCTCAGTGGCAGGGGCAGGGTGCCCCAAACACCTTGTCCTGGTGGTACCTCCAGCAGCCATGACAGCATATTTCTGGCCAATGCATCGACTCAAGATCCCTGCTCCTGGAATTCAGTTTCACACCGTGGTGACCCTCATGACAACCTCTCGGCCAGAATGGGAACTGGAACGGGCATCTGGTGGCCGCAGCTGTCCAAGGAGGTGCAGGATTGTGTAACCACAGCGCTGAGGCAAGAGCGTCCGCATGCGCCGGGCAGCCGGGGGGCGGCTGGTGGCCCCAGAGGCGGGGCCCGTCCGTGAGGTCCTGGGGCCCAGCTTCCCCGCCATCCCTCCCCCTGCATCTCCTCCTATGTCCTTGGTCTTGTCATAATTCAGGACCTTCCATTGCTGGTTCACTGCCTGCCAGCGCTTGAAGATGCGGTAGACAGAGGAGCCTTCGTGGACGATGAGGCCTGAGCAAAAGGGGTAAGAAATCCAGAGTCACCTGCTGCCCAGACCTAGGCTGGAGGTACTTAAGTGAGTATTTCTCCAGAGTGAGGAGCTAGGGTATGCAAAGGGCCCGAAAAAGCAGGGAAGGGAGGGGCACCAAGATAGCCCTAAAGGCTCCCAATGGTAGAAAATGTGGCTATGGAGCTGAGGGAATGGGCAGGGAAGGTTTGTGTGAGTTGGAGGAAAATGCTTAGCAAGTAAGGGGGAGAGAGGTGCCCTTACCTATGCAGACGACATCCATGAAGCCATACATGCCGTAGCAGATCTGAAAGAGCAGATCCTGCCGTTGCCACTTGGCTGAAGGGCTGAGTGAGGACCAGATGAGCCAGGAGATGCTGGCAACGAGGAAGAGAGAGCCCAGAACTATGGCTGCAATCTGGACCTTCTCAATGACCGTCAGGGAGATGGCCTGCCACTGTGTGGGAGAAAGAGCTCCAAAAGGTCATGGAAAGAGAAGGAGGGCCAGCTGATGAGTGGCCCTCAAGAGGAAGATGCTCCAGAGCCTTCCTGAAACCCTTCAGGCAAGATTAGCAATCTGTCTCATCTATGTCCTGATCAAACCTAGTAGAGAGCCCCCCCCCCTTTTTTAATAGAGCACTTTCACATTGTTTGAGACCATTTGTCTGTCCTGTTTTAGAAAGGCAGGATCAGACAAGTGCTCTGAACCCAGACCATCTAGGTTTGAATTCCAAATCCAAACTCCATCACTTATGGGCTGAGTAACTTTGGGCAAGTTTTTACGCTTCTTTGTGCATCAGGGTCCTCATCTTTAAAATGGAGATAATAATGGCACACAGCTAATAGGATTATTACAAAAATTAAATCAGTTATTATAAACCAAGAGTGTAACACATAGAAAATACTATGTTTGCTACCATCATCATCATCACCATCATATTATCATCTTCTGCTTTTTTACTGTCTCAGTGCCTAGAACAGTGCCTGAAATACAGGTGGCACCCAATAAATGTGAATACATGAAGGAAGGGAAGATTTACAGGCAGACAGGCTGTGGTAACGGTGGGGAGGGTAACTTTGAGGAAAGATTAACTGGATGATGGGCTTCCTGGAGAGTCCCTGAATCTGACTGCTGCCTTTGCCCAGGTCTGGAAGTTCTCTCCCTGTAACCTCACCTGCAGCGGGTTCTTGGTGCTGATCGCCAGGACCTGGTACTTGAAGTAGCAGAGCTCACAGCTCCAGGAGCCCCTCTCGCTGATC